GATGCTTAACTATACCATTGGTAGTATAGTAGACGGCGCTGATCAAAAATTAACTTATCCGTGAAACTAGTGTACTTATGAAAGGGGAGTGAAATGTTGCTTTCCCTTCATAATCCCTTTTACCCATTAAAATGGAGGTTAATTTATTTTTTATTTCAACCGTTTTTTTACAAAGGAATCTAAAACGTCACAATTAAAGATAGACTTTAATCCGGTTCCAATGATATCACCAACCAAAGGTCGTCGTTCTTCTGTGGCAGCTTTATTTGGTTCAACTCCTTCCCCCAGTTTGTTTGGCCATTCGCCTAATAAAACGTCAAATAAACTACTTACCAAAGTGGGTCTTAAAAAAGCTAAAACACCCACAAAATCGGAGAAACTGTTAAACTCATTAGGAACTGGAATGGTAAGTCATTTTTATTTTATTTTTTTTTCTAACCGTTGATACCACATTATTAAGCTAGATGAAAGTTGAAGGTAAATGTTATTGATCTAAGATGATTCCTGACAAAAGATGAAAATTTTGTCAGGTCAAAAATAGTGGATCAAAAAAGTGGTTCTCTAATAGTAACTCTAATATCAAGCTTAACTCACTATTTGCATGACAACTTGTAATCTGTTACCCTTATTACAATATGTTTACTGTTACTTTTGCCTTGTTCATGATCACATTGGTATTAACATTCGTTCTTTTCTCAAATCAAAGATATCAGATGACATTTCTTTTTGTGCATTTTAAACCTTTCACGTCAAATATTTTCATATTTTCTGTCAAACCTGAATAAACAAATGTTTTTAGGGGAACATATTGTTCAAGAATAACTTTTATTATAAGCAAACAATGTCTAATTTTGTTTTTATAATTCTCTATTTCTCATTTTCAGCAACATTTTCTTGGCAAATAGGAAATTTGTTTTTTTGAGTCCAACAAATATTGGACAAATCATCTGGAATCATCCATATCAAAAAGACGGAAGAAGCTCAACCTGAGGGAAAACTTGAAACATATCAATTGATTGGACCTGCAAAAATTGGGATAAAACAAAAGGCTTGACATGGTCTATTTTGTTGTTTATTAAAGAGAATCACCTTAAAATGGCCATGACTGCTTTTACTGGATCACCAAAGGTGGATAAATGAAAGCAAAAGTTATTATAATTATGCACATTTGATAAAAAACGGAACAAACCTGAATTGAGATATTAATATGATATATTATAATATTATAAATTTATAAATAGGTGTACAAAATATATAAATATGTAAGAATACATGTAAAAGTGAAAAGGCAAAAACAAGTTACAAGAAACAAGCATAATTCAAGTTTTACCAATAATAACAATTTACCTAATTATTTCATTGTTATTATTGCTATTATCATTACAAAATTAAATAGTAAACTCAATTCTCTTTTATCTGAAAACAATTCAATTGAGAAGGAGAAACAAAATATCAATTTTATTAAAAAAAAAATGCTATTGTTTATTCAACTTTGCCTTTGGCTTTTTACTTGAAATATTTTTCTGGTTTAGGTTTACATTTCTGGTAATATTTTCCTGTTCTTGGTTCAATTTATTAGATTGTCAAATTGAAAAATGATTATTATTAGCAACCCAAACTAATCATGTAAAGCAAAGTATAAAGTAAAAATTAATTTAAAATTAATTTAAAATTAAATAAAAGCAATTAATTGTAAACACACAAAACTACATTTCAATGGATCCTTGAATAATCAAGAGGTTGACAGGAAATTTAATATTCAACTTGTTATAAGCTGGTTAACCGATTAAATTGTAAAAATTAAAGTGAATAAATTGAAGTATCGATCAAGATTGATTGTGATTGTAAAAGTGTTTTGATATAAAGGTAATTGTAATGATTGTTGCTATACAAAGGCTTTACTTGATAATTCATGAATACTGTTTTTTATTACCTCGTATTGATGGTCAAGGTGATTGATTGGGTTACCTTTAATAACCTGATTAATGAAGCAAGTTTAATGAGTTGACAAGGATGATGATGTTGATGGTGGTGGTCAATGTAAGACTGGGAGGTTGATGGATGTTGATATTGAATAAACGGTTTAACTGGTCGAGTTTCATTCTGAGTCTCATTCTGGTCCATCTTGTTGCCATTTTTGTCTTATCAACTGATTCTTATTCAGCCTTTTATCCGGTTCCTATGAGAAATAACAATGATTAAGAGGTTGGTTAATCATGATAACCATGTCACTATGAAATAAGATGACCAAGTAAACCAGATAATCATTTTGGTCTCTCAACTTTTCTCCTTGCTTCTTGTGGCTGTTCATTGCTACTTTACAGGTTAACCTGTTTCATATCCAAAGGGTGACTAAAGCTTATTATTTCTGGTTATTAACCAGGCATTAAACCAGATAAAAATGGTTTTATATCCAACACATTTCCAGGTAGATTCAAAATCATCGTCACATTTACAGTTACAACCATTACCAGTTTTTACCTTTATTTTGTGTATTCTTGTTCATTCCCTTCAAGATGCTATTATTTTTACCAAAATATTTTCCTTGTCTTTTTATATTTATTTTTATGGCCCTATCATTATCATTTCAAAGATACAATCAAACCCATTAATAATAACGATTGGATGAAGAAGAGGAAGAAAAAAAAACAATAATAAATGAAACAAATTATTTATCACTTCAATTATTGTATCATTATATTCATCTTTCATCGACCAGTTTAACCTTTCAAAAGTAAACCTAAACAGTGAACCCTTTAGGTTGCACCACTTATCCAACCTTGCCACTTTCCTTGGTTCAATTCACGGTACATTTAAGCTCATTTTGAAACAATGAAAATCATTTATCGATGATTTTTGCACCAGGCATCAGGCTGAATATCTGAATAGAATGTTTTTACCTGAATATTTCCTTTTCTTCTTCTTACCTTATTCTTCATTGTCAACTATAATACATCAATTTTAATCAACTGAATGGACCTTTCCTTTCATATTCATCTCATATTTTTGCTTGTCTCAGTGTTTTTACATCCATTGGGATCAAGATGAGATGAAACATTATAATGGATAAATGATAAGGAGAAAGAAAACATTGATTCAAATCGTTGAAACAGAAATAGATTTAATCATTGAAATGGAATCGTAAAGGTAATGGCAACTATTTATCTATTAATGGTCTTTAACAAGTGAAATGGTTCAAGGTAAATTGTGCCTGATGATGATTATGATTGTAATGCAAACAATATTAATGATGATCCAATGGTTTCTGTTTTGCTGTTTCTAATGTTAAATATGATAATCTCAACAATCTTTACTGTTCATGTCAGACTGTTCATTACTCTGGTTAATTAATTAATCAATTTAACCATCATCATCATCTTGACAACTCACACTTACTTACATGTTAATCTGAATATGCCTTTAAACCTTGCGGCTATTATTATCAGATTAATTAGCTAATTATGATAATAACAATATATTCAAATAGCAATGATATGGCAGAATGAATATTCATTTAAGAATTGATTGAATGTCACAGAAATAATGGATAAAAATTGCTATTCAAAGGAAGGGTTAACAAGGAATGCAGTTTGATGAGATTGACAATAAAAGGTAAAAATGATGTCGACTCTGAAATTTGGTGTCAAAGTCAAGGTAAAGATGAATGCTATTATATAACAAAAGATGAAAATTTTGGTAATACTTGATGAAGCCCAGAATAGTTATTGAACCATGAAATTGATTCGATTTCTTGTTTATCATTTTCTGTTTCCCTGTTTATCTGCAACAAAAATTTGCCAACATATAAAGCAAAAAATTTGATTCATTCGCTTCCCTTTTGGGTTCAATTTTCAGTGAAATAATGTTAACCCATTTTTCAGATGAAACAGTTAAATATGTATAATTAACTGCATCTCTGACTGATTTTGTTTTCATTGAATCAACATCAATAGTGTATATTACACACTTCAATAATATAATGAAATTCATGATAAAAATAACAATGGTAATAGCAATAATAATGTTAATAATAATAATCTTTTTTAATAATGTTACCTTTGCCTAAAGGGACTTTGCTTCATTTTTTGCTTTCTATTTCATTGGTTTATCACAATTTCCAGTTGGGATAATCAACTGATGAATTCACTTTATACTCGTTATTATTTGGGTCTTTTTTGGGTTCAAATATCTGGTAGAAATGATTTCAGGTTTGGCTTTTTTTTCTTGTTTTGTTTTCACTTTGCCAGCAACATTGTTAACATCATGTATTAAATTTGGTTGGACAGCTAAGGCCTAAAAATAGCAAGAATAATGTTTAAGAATGAATCTTTCTTTTTTGGGAATAATGGCTTGAACTTGACTGAACATTCTGTCAAAATAATGTACATCTGATAGGAAATTGTAAGTATACTTAAATTTGATAATAATGGTTGTTCAGTGAAATTATGATTGAAAGTCTTTGGCGGAATGTTTCTTCTCTCACTCTTCTCATATTGTTATTCAACAACATGGGAAAATATTACCATGAATTTATATGTGTTTATGAAATACATGCATATATTTTACCACAGATAACAGTTATATCCTTAGGGTGTAAAACCAGATTTTACCTGAAATCTATTTGTTTACTCATCTCTTCTACACTTTTTGCTATTCATGTTGTTTCAGACTTAAATACTCTTGTCTACAGAGAAAAATGGTTAATCATTTCACTTTGTTTCATATTAAGTTGAATTGATAATTGGCAGTTCCTTTCTTGATTGGTCCCTTGAAGGTTGCCTCATTAATAGGTTAATTGTTGACTCTTGAAGTTGTGATTGATGGTTGTAGGTGGAAGGCTTAAAGGTATCTTGTTGGCTTCAACTGGCAGGCTGTTAAGTTGACGGCTTTGGATGATGGTATGAACCTTTCATGGTGAAAATTCTTTATTTAATCAACCTTTAGGGTTTATCTCAGTGTTTATATTGTTCTTGTCAAGGATAACTTTTGACATAAATGAACACAAATGTAAAGATTGTTTGTAAGAACTGTTTATTTAACTAATAAACCGGGAAACACGGTTTTAAATGGTCAATTTACAGAGCTCTTAAGCCTCCTGTATAAGCCATTGGGTTAACTTACCAATCAGAAGAGTTTATATATTAGGTCACTCAATTAAACTAACATTATTGAATGGTAAAATTAATATTTCTCAACAGAAAGAGATACAAGTTCATCACAAGTTTAGGACAACAATTAGTTAAGTAAATAAAAGTTATCCGTTAACTTTTTCTGTGTAAATAACAGTCAAGGCTATTTCAACTAACATAGTGTTTAAGCGGTAAATTCAATTTCCAAGTACATTTGCACTGAGCTGTCAGCTGGTTAATGATTTCATCATTGTTGCTATTTACATTGTTTTTTTTGTTCTTGTGAGTGATTTTTTATCCAAATCTTAATTTTCTCAAAGATTTGACTCAGTTTTGTGTCTTTTTAATGTATTAAAAGTCTGATAGTTCAATGACTTATCTTCTGAAATAGGAGTTATCCCTTTGGTTGACAATGATTAGTCTGCAACGATTGATTAAGTTGGTTGAAGCTAATCGTCTTAGAGAAGCTTTGGCTGGTGTTTCGTTCCTTGAGGTTCCAGATAAGGTTAAAAGTTATTCAAATTACGGTGGAGAGTTGCTGCATCTGTTGGTACGATCAAACGTTGAACCTGGAATAATCTTGAAGATTTGCTCTGAATGGCAACAAAAAGGAATCAATAAATTTGGTCTATCTCAAGCGACTGAAGCTGCTCTCACCTTTTTATCTTATAATCAGGCCAAAGATTATCTTGACCAGTTTGTTAAAATGAGAGACGTAGCGAGGCCTCATTTTTATGCACCTTTAATTGCAAAGACTTCGAGTTTTACAAGAATTTGTTCATTACTAGAGAATGATTTGAAACCGTTAAGCTCGCTTCATCCAGAAAGTACTTTTGAAATGTTTGCGGATGTGATATGGAGAAAAGTTTACCCGTATTATGATGAGTTTTTTTCACGCTGTGTTATCATTGGATTAACTCCCAACTTTTTAATCAACACATGTATAGCTCATTATCTTAATTCTGGTGATATTACTCGTCTTGAACAGTTGCTGTCGACAATGGGTTACAATTTTCGAGCTGATTATAAACTAGTGCCTTATCTTGTTACCTACACAATCAAACATGGATTGGATAAAGGCCTCCCTTTGATTAAAAGGCTGGGTTCTCAATCACTTAATCAAGTTATATTCAACTCTTTCTTCTTGCTTAATGCAAGTGGAGTCTTGACAGATGATGATCAAGCTACCCTTGAATCTGTTGTCAGATACATGAGAAAAAAATATTTGTACATAACTCCAGTTGCTGGTGAAATATTGCTTTCCTCATTTGATGGTACATCCTTGGCTTCGTCAATTCGTAATCTAGTGGACAGAAAAACCAAATATTCTGACGAGTCCAATGCGTGGTATACTTATTCATCTGCAACCTGTTCACCCATTGAGGCCTACGAGACTCGTCTTAAATTAATAGAAAGAGAAACTAACCCAAAATCTCGCGGAATCATTCGTAAACTCATTCTTGTTTATTGTAGTATGAATAATCAACCAACAAATGGTCCTAATCAACTTGTTTGCCAAAGGGTTAATCAACTTTTAGATAATTTAAACGATAAAAATATTTCTCCAGCAATGGCTTCTACATTGATGGCTTTCTTTGCAATTAATGATGATCTCGAAAAGGCTTTATTTTACAAAAATCTAATCCCAGATGGATTTACTACAGATTTGAGTAAAATCCTTCATTTGGCTATTAAAATGGTTTCAAGTGGACTTTTAAATGACTCAGTTGATATGATATTGCTAGAGATTTACAAATCAACCATTAAACCGACAAGACCCGACTTCGCGTCTTACACTACAAACTCTTTGGTTCGCGATTATCTAGAGCTGATTGGAGAGGAAACTAAAGATATCAAGTTGGTAAAAGATCTGTGCAACTCTTTCTTGTCAAACCAAAAGATTAAACCAAATAACAAATCACTTCGACCTCGAGTGACCATCCATTTAACCTGCAACGATGTTCGAGGAGCTTTGGATGAGTTTTATCATTGTCTTCATACCTTCCGACTAACTCCAGGCCAAAATATTTTGCTCGATTATTTAATCGACAAAAAAATGTTCAATCAACTCGAGTCATTGCTTGATTCAGTGTGTAAATATTTTGATAAGACTGATATCGTCTTCAACTGTGTTCATCGTCTTGTGGTCAAGGGTTATCCTGAATCGGGCCAAAATTTAATCACCAAAATGAAGTTGTATGAAGACAAACAATCAATCAGGACTCTAATTGTTCATAATATAGCCAAACAAAATATTCAAGAGAGTTTATCGTTGGTACAGTTTTATGGGAGCAAATTTGATTTGGAAGAAAAAGCACATTTTTACAATCGAATTTACAGTTTGTCTTCAGAGAGCAAAGATTTAAACTCTGTAGACAAAATCATAAATTTAATGAAAAGAGAAAAAATTGAGCCATTCATGAATGATAACATTAGTACAAAAGAAAAGGAAAATAATTGATCTATTTTTGGATGATGATGAAGACAATGATACAAATAATGAGTTTAAATACTGGAAAAATGATAATTAGTCTTTCAGTCTTGACCTCAAGTAGTATTAGAATGTATTTATATAATTAATATATTTGAAACATTGGTTTCATCATCACTAACATTAAAATTCAATTAAAATAGTTAATACAATTAAAGTATAATGTTACTTGATCTTGAATTCAGCTAATCACTTACCATTAAAAAAAGGAAATTGTAATAAGTTAATAATGACGAGGATTGGCTTTTCAGCTTATTTTGGCTCATTTCTAGCTTTGTTTTTTTTATCCAAAATATTTGCAAAAATTGTTCCTTGTGAGAAATATTACAAATACGATAAGCAACACAACTTAAAGTGAAAAATTGAACTTGCATGAGAAAAACTTGCAAATATATGTATATGATATTATCAATAATTGTAATTATAAGTACTTATGTATATATAGATGTATCTATCAATATTTATAATATAAATATGTGAACACATTTCAGATTAGTTTTGTTTGGTATTCGTCTATTGATCCATCTGATATTCTTCTTGTTTTAATTAGGCAGTGTTTGGTTTGAACTTGTTTCTTTTCATCAAAAACAAGATTCATTGCAAAAAATCGCATCAATGTATCATCGAGAAAGTATTTTTTTCGATCAATTGAGCAATAAAACAATTATAAATAAATGGCAGTTGCAACAGTTGATTCAAACATTATCACCATTGATATTTGTTTTGCTCGCCATCAAAAATCTAAATTCTGTAGTAATCAATTGTATTTTCTATGACGTTCAAATTTATCAATTTCATCGCTTAATTCCTGGAAAAATAGAAAGAAAAACATGATTAGATTATCAAACCGGGAGTTGAAATCATTGAAGCATACGTTTAGAAATAAATGTACAAATATGAAAATACTAACCATTATTAAAGCTGATCGATTCCAATCATTTCGGCGACGATTAATCACACGGTAAAGACAAGAATATACTTCTTCCAATTGTTCAACTGAACAATTCTTTGTAACATCAACAACTCTGTTGAATATTTTCGATACTTGAACACGATCTATGATCAATTGTTGAGGTGGAGGAGTGTTTGGTGGACTTGGAGGACCAGTTGGTTTATCTAACTCTGGTTGTTGTTGTTGTTGTGGGGGCGGCGGTGGTGGCGGTGGTGGTGTAGGAGGTGATGGTGTTGGTGGACGTTGATGAGGAATAGGAGAAGCTCTGACAATTGGCTGAGGTTTTGGTTTTTTTCGAGAAAATCCGTTTGTCAACATTGTTCGAGGTATAACTTTATCTTCATCCTCTGAGGGTGTATCAAGCTCGGTTTCAGAACGATCGTAACTGTCTCTGGATGTTCGTCTACATTTCCTCCTCGTGGTCATCTTGCTGCTTTCTCGACTATCTGAACTACTCTTTTTGCTTCGGAGTTTTCTGCCATTGATAGCACCATTATTACGTTTATCTTTGACTTTTAAACGTTTCCATCGATGTTGATGGCTTCTTCGACTACGCCTTTTGTTACGATAACCTGTATCTTTAGATATTGACTCTGAAGAACTTTGAACTTTATCTTCATTGTAACCGTCTAGTGACTCAATTTCGGTATCTTCATCTATATTATAATTATTGTCAGCTCCTTGAGAATCAGTTGTTGAACCACCAGGAGCTGGAACAGGTTCAGGTGACTCTACACATCTCCTAATGGCAGCGGATGTGTAAACAGTCCAATAATTCGGAGGAGCAAAAAGATTCGTCGATTCTCCTGAGAGATAAAATAAACGAAATAAAATGAATATAAAAACGAACAGCAGTTTTGTTTGTAACTTACCTCGACGTCTTCTGCTTTCATATACATCTTGACAGACTTGCTCAAAATCAGAGTCCATTTCAGCTTCGATAAAAGCGTTAGCTGCATCTCTTAAAGCACAAGCCCGATGTCGGATCATTCGGTCATTACTATCCTTATCAGGATTGTATTCAAGAGCATTATGGCAAATTAGCTCGATATCATCTAAGAATTGCGAGGCACTTTCATATTTATGAGTGTCTATTTTAGCTATCATTGTTTCCAATGCCATAGGCTTTTTCACTACTTCCAGATAATCAGGAAGTTCTTCAAGATCGACAGGTTTTACACGGACACATATAATAAACAGTGCTATAGATTCAAATAAATAATCGTTTATTGTCGCGCTCTAGGTCGGACTAGGTTAGGTTAGGTTAGGTTAGGTTTGGTTAGGTTTGGTTAGGTTCGGTTGGGCTTGGATGGCCTGGGGCCTCAATTAACGCCTTTGTTATTGTTTTGTGTCCGTATAACTAGACTGTTACCAAAAATTAAAATGTAATGTTTACATCTTCATCAGCTTACATATTAGTTTATTAGGAAAAGATAGAATTATAGATAAATAATTCTCTTTTAGGAACCCAAATTCTGAACAGCTTCTAGTTATTTTTTGTGTATCTAGTCAATCATCATTTATAATCTTAATTTTTTAATTGCTACAATTTTTGTGAAGCATCCTCTTTTTATATAGAATGTAGATTGTACATACGAAATTTTATTAAGATTTAAAGTTCAATTTGTTTACAAAATTAATGAAATGAATATAATACTAAAATTATGTCAAAATACACAAAAAAGGTCAAAATTTGAAATCTTTATATTTCTTATTGGATTTGAAAGAGTCTTGTGTTTTTTTCCTTTTCTGACTGGCCACGTGTTCAGCAACCATATCACTTAAATCTTCTTTACTCGTTTGTTTCAATGATTTCTCGTATTTAGCTGCTAAATCTGCAATAGGCATTTCCAAATCATTTGGATCCAGTGCAACTTCAACTCCTTGTGTTCTTTTGAATGAGCCCGTCACGTCATAGATATGATTAGATGGCATCATTTCTTTTCCATTTCTTTCCGTTTTCTTTTCAGGAATAATATTAAACAGAGAAGCATTCGCATTGCTCTCCATTTCATCTTGTATCTTTTTCTTTCTCAATTCGATGATAGCTGGTGTTTCCATTCCTTTGTCCACTGAAAAAAAACCTGAAGATCAATTCGATGATAGCTGGTGTTTCCATTCCTTTGTCCACTGAAAAAAAACCTGAAGATGCTTCCAACTCATCTGGCGCTGTAAAACTTCTTCTTCCAACTCTTCTTCTTCTTCTTCCAACTCTTCTTCTTCTTCTTCCAACTCTTCTTCTTCTTCTTCCAACTCTTCTTCTTCCTCTTCCTCGGATTCGATTTCACCCCATAATTGCTTTTCTACTTTTTCCCCCTTATTCAAATCGTTTTCGATTGTATTTAAGCCGAATACATCACCATAAAGTGGTCGACCAAATTCGTCCACTGGGGGCTTACCCCAACCACCAGCATGGTACCCAAAAGAGCATCCATCAGGTATTCTTGCATTTAGGCCCGGAATTTTAAGGTTTGGATAGGATGGCGGAGGACCATACCTCTGCATAGCAATAAGCCATGGAGGTGGACATTTATGCCCATTAGGGCCAGTTGGCATTCCCAATGCAACTCTCAAATCGACACTCAGGTCACCGGGTTTTTTCTCTTTTAATCTTGTTTCATTTTCTTTTCCTTCAAAATAAATTTCTCCATGAATTGTCATTTTGGGTTTACTTTGCCATTTGAAAAATGCATCATGAAATTTCTCGTAATCAATATCAATTTTCCCAAGTTTTGGTCGTATTTTTTCTCGTTGTCTTGTTTTCAAAGATTTGGCATCCTCTTTCTCTTGCAGCGCATTTCTCATTTCCATGAAATGTTTGCGGATGTGATTTGGAGAAAAGTTTACCCGTATTATGATGAGTTTTTTTCACGCTGTGTTATCATTGGATTAACTCCCAACTTTTTAATCAACACATGTATAGCTCATTATCTTAATTCTGGTGATATTACTCGTCTAGAACAGTTGCTGTCGACAATGGGTTACAATTTTCGAGCTGATTATAAACTAGTGCCTTATCTTGTTACCTACACAATCAAACATGGATTGGATAAAGGCCTCCCTTTGACTAAAAGGCTGGGTTCTCAATCACTTAATCAAGTTATATTCAACTCTTTCTTCTTACTTAATGCAAGTGGAGTCTTGGCAGATGATGATCAAGCTATCCTTGAATCTGTTGTCAGATACATGAGAAAAAAATATTTGTACATAACTCCAGTTGCTGGTGAAATATTGCTTTCCTCATTTGATGGTACATCCTTGGCTTCATCAATTCGTAATCTAGTGGACAGAAAAACCAAATATTCTGACGAGTCCAATGCATGGTATACTTATTCATCTGCAACTTGTTCACCCATTGAGGCCTACGAGACTCGTCTTAAATTAATAGAAAGAGAAACCAACCCAAAATCTCGCGGAATCATTCGTAAACTCATTCTTGTTTATTGTAGCATGAATAATCAACCAACAAATGGTCCTAATCAACTTGTTTGCCAAAGGGTTAATCAACTTTTGGATAATTTAAACGATAAAAATATTTCTCCTGCAATGGCTTCTACATTGATGGCCTTCTTTGCAATTAATGATGATCTCGAAAAGGCTTTATTTTACAAAAATCTAATCCCAGATGGATTTACTACAGATTTGAGTAAAATCCTTCATTTGGCTATTAAAATGGTGTCGAGTGGACTTTTAAATGACTCAGTTGATATGATATTGTTAGAGATTTACAAATCAACCAATAAACCGACAAGACCCGACTTTGCGTCTTACACTACAAACTCTTTGGTTCGCGATTATCTAGAGCTGATTGGAGAGGAAACTAAAGATATCAAGTTGGTAAAAGATCTGTGCAACTCTTTCTTGTCAAACCAAAAGATTAAACCAAATAACAAATCACTTCGACCTCGAGTGACCATCCATTTAACCTGCAACGATGTTCAAGGAGCTTTGGATGAGTTTTATCATTGTCTTCATACCTTCCGACTAACTCCAGGCCAAAATATTTTGCTCGATTATTTAATCGACAAAAAAATGTTCAATCAACTCGAGTCATTGCTTGATTCAGTGTGTAAATATTTTGATAAGACTGATATCGTCTTCAACTGTGTTCATCGTCTTGTGGTCAAGGGTTATCCTGAATCGGGCCAAAATTTAATCACCAAAATGAAGTTGTATGAAGACAAACAATCAATCAGGACTCTAATTGTTCATAATATAGCCAAACAAAATATTCAAGAGAGTTTATCGTTGGTACAGTTTTATGGGAGCAAATTTGATTTGGAAGAAAAAGCACATTTTTACAATCGAATTTACAGTTTGTCTTCAGAGAGCAAAGATTTAAACTCTGTAGACAAAATCATAAATTTAATGAAAAGAGAAAAAATTGAGCCATTCATGAATGATAACATTAGTACAAAAGAAAAGGAAAATAATTGATCTATTTTTGGATGATGATGAAGACAATGATACAAATAATGAGTTTAAATACTGGAAAAATGATAATTAGTCTTTCAGTCTTGACCTCAAGTAGTATTAGAATGTATTTATATAATTAATATATTTGAAACATTGGTTTCATCATCACTAACATTAAAATTCAATTAAAATAGTTAATACAATTAAAGTATAATGTTACTTGATCTTGAATTCAGCTAATCACTTACCATTAAAAAAAGGAAATTGTAATAAGTTAATAATGACGAGGATTGGCTTTTCAGCTTATTTTGGCTCATTTCTAGCTTTGTTTTTTTTATCCAAAATATTTGCAAAAATTGTTCCTTGTGAGAAATATTACAAATACGATAAGCAACACAACTTAAAGTGAAAAATTGAACTTGCATGAGAAAAACTTGCAAATATATGTATATGATATTATCAATAATTGTAATTATAAGTACTTATGTATATATAGATGTATCTATCAATATTTATAATATAAATATGTGAACACATTTCAGATTAGTTTTGTTTGGTATTCGTCTATTGATCCATCTGATATTCTTCTTGTTTTAATTAGGCAGTGTTTGGTTTGAACTTGTTTCTTTTCATCAAAAACAAGATTCATTGCAAAAAATCGCATCAATGTATCATCGAGAAAGTATTTTTTTCGATCAATTGAGCAATAAAACAATTATAAATAAATGGCAGTTGCAACAGTTGATTCAAACATTATCACCATTGATATTTGTTTTGCTCGCCATCAAAAATCTAAATTCTGTAGTAATCAATTGTATTTTCTATGACGTTCAAATTTATCAATTTCATCGCTTAATTCCTGGAAAAATAGAAAGAAAAACATGATTAGATTATCAAACCGGGAGTTGAAATCATTGAAGCATACGTTTAGAAATAAATGTACAAATATGAAAATACTAACCATTATTAAAGCTGATCGATTCCAATCATTTCGGCGACGATTAATCACACGGTAAAGACAAGAATATACTTCTTCCAATTGTTCAACTGAACAATTCTTTGTAACATCAACAACTCTGTTGAATATTTTCGATACTTGAACACGATCTATGATCAATTGTTGAGGTGGAGGAGTGTTTGGTGGACTTGGAGGACCAGTTGGTTTATCTAACTCTGGTTGTTGTTGTTGTTGTGGGGGCGGCGGTGGTGGCGGTGGTGGTGTAGGAGGTGATGGTGTTGGTGGACGTTGATGAGGAATAGGAGAAGCTCTGACAATTGGCTGAGGTTTTGGTTTTTTTCGAGAAAATCCGTTTGTCAACATTGTTCGAGGTATAACTTTATCTTCATCCTCTGAGGGTGTATCAAGCTCGGTTTCAGAACGATCGTAACTGTCTCTGGATGTTCGTCTACATTTCCTCCTCGTGGTCATCTTGCTGCTTTCTCGACTATCTGAACTACTCTTTTTGCTTCGGAGTTTTCTGCCATTGATAGCACCATTATTACGTTTATCTTTGACTTTTAAACGTTTCCATCGATGTTGATGGCTTCTTCGACTACGCCTTTTGTTACGATAACCTGTATCTTTAGATATTGACTCTGAAGAACTTTGAACTTTATCTTCATTGTAACCGTCTAGTGACTCAATTTCGGTATCTTCATCTATATTATAATTATTGTCAGCTCCTTGAGAATCAGTTGTTGAACCACCAGGAGCTGGAACAGGTTCAGGTGACTCTACACATCTCCTAATGGCAGCGGATGTGTAAACAGTCCAATAATTCGGAGGAGCAAAAAGATTCGTCGATTCTCCTGAGAGATAAAATAAACGAAATAAAATGAATATAAAAACGAACAGCAGTTTTGTTTGTAACTTACCTCGACGTCTTCTGCTTTCATATACATCTTGACAGACTTGCTCAAAATCAGAGTCCATTTCAGCTTCGATAAAAGCGTTAGCTGCATCTCTTAAAGCACAAGCCCGATGTCGGATCATTCGGTCATTACTATCCTTATCAGGATTGTATTCAAGAGCATTATGGCAAATTAGCTCGATATCATCTAAGAATTGCGAGGCACTTTCATATTTATGAGTGTCTATTTTAGCTATCATTGTTTCCAATGCCATAGGCTTTTTCACTACTTCCAGATAATCAGGAAGTTCTTCAAGATCGACAGGTTTTACACGGACACATATAATAAACAGTGCTATAGATTCAAATAAATAATCGTTTATTGTCGCGCTCTAGGTCGGACTAGGTTAGGTTAGGTTAGGTTAGGTTTGGTTAGGTTTGGTTAGGTTCGGTTGGGCTTGGATGGCCTGGGGCCTCAATTAACGCCTTTGTTATTGTTTTGTGTCCGTATAACTAGACTGTTACCAAAAATTAAAATGTAATGTTTACATCTTCATCAGCTTACATATTAGTTTATTAGGAAAAGATAGAATTATAGATAAATAATTCTCTTTTAGGAACCCAAATTCTGAACAGCTTCTAGTTATTTTTTGTGTATCTAGTCAATCATCATTTATAATCTTAATTTTTTAATTGCTACAATTTTTGTGAAGCATCCTCTTTTTATATAGAATGTAGATTGTACATACGAAATTTTATTAAGATTTAAAGTTCAATTTGTTTACAAAATTAATGAAATGAATATAATACTAAAATTATGTCAAAATACACAAAAAAGGTCAAAATTTGAAATCTTTATATTTCTTATTGGATTTGAAAGAGTCTTGTGTTTTTTTCCTTTTCTGACTGGCCACGTGTTCAGCAACCATATCACTTAAATCTTCTTTACTCGTTTGTTTCAATGATTTCTCGTATTTAGCTGCTAAATCTGCAATAGGCATTTCCAAATCATTTGGATCCAGTGCAACTTCAACTCCTTGTGTTCTTTTGAATGAGCCCGTCACGTCATAGATATGATTAGATGGCATCATTTCTTTTCCATTTCTTTCCGTTTTCTTTTCAGGAATAATATTAAACAGAGAAGCATTCGCATTGCTCTCCATTTCATCTTGTATCTTTTTCTTTCTCAATTCGATGATAGCTGGTGTTTCCATTCCTTTGTCCACTGAAAAAAAACCTGAAGATGCTTCCAACTCATCTGGCGCTGTAAAAAATCCACTGTCGTTTGCTTCATCAGTAAATTTGCCGTTTTCTGCTTCTACTTCTGCTTCTTCTTCTTCTTCTTCCAACTCTTCTTCTTCCTCTTCCTCGGATTCGATTTCACCCCATAATTGCTTTTCTACTTTTTCCCCCTTATTCAAATCGTTTTCGATTGTATTTAAGCCGAATACATCACCATAAAGTGGTCGACCAAATTCGTCCACTGGGGGCTTACCCCAACCACCAGCATGGTACCCAAAAGAGCATCCATCAGGTATTCTTGCATTTAGGCCCGGAATTTTAAGGTTTGGATAGGATGGCGGAGGACCATACCTCTGCATAGCAATAAGCCATGGAGGTGGACATTTATGCCCATTAGGGCCAGTTGGCATTCCCAATGCAACTCTCAAATCGACACTCAGGTCACCGGGTTTTTTCTCTTTTAATCTTGTTTCATTTTCTTTTCCTTCAAAATAAATTTCTCCATGAATTGTCATTTTGGGTTTACTTTGCCATTTGAAAAATGCATCATGAAATTTCTCGTAATCAATATCAATTTTCCCAAGTTTTGGTCGTATTTTTTCTCGTTGTCTTGTTTTCAAAGATTTGGCATCCTCTTTCTCTTGCAGCGCATTTCTCATTTCCATGAAATGTTTGCGGATGTGATTTGGAGAAAAGTTTACCCGTATTATGATGAGTTTTTTTCACGCTGTGTTATCATTGGATTAACTCCCAACTTTTTAATCAACACATGTATAGCTCATTATCTTAATTCTGGTGATATTAATCGTCTAGAACAGTTGCTGTCGACAATGGGTTACAATTTTCGAGCTGATTATAAACTAGTGCCTTATCTTGTTACCTACACAATCAAACATGGATTGGATAAAGGCCTCCCTTTGACTAAAAGGCTGGGTTCTCAATCACTTAATCAAGTTATATTCAACTCTTTCTTCTTACTTAATGCAAGTGGAGTCTTGGCAGATGATGATCAAGCTATCCTTGAATCTGTTGTCAGATACATGAGAAAAAAATATTTGTACATAACTCCAGTTGCTGGTGAAATATTGCTTTCCTCATTTGATGGTACATCCTTGGCTTCATCAATTCGTAATCTAGTGGACAGAAAAACCAAATATTCTGACGAGTCCAATGCATGGTATACTTATTCATCTGCAACTTGTTCACCCATTGAGGCCTACGAGACTCGTCTTAAATTAATAGAAAGAGAAACCAACCCAAAATCTCGCGGAATCATTCGTAAACTCATTCTTGTTTATTGTAGCATGAATAATCAACCAACAAATGGTCCTAATCAACTTGTTTGCCAAAGGGTTAATCAACTTTTGGATAATTTAAACGATAAAAATATTTCTCCTGCAATGGCTTCTACATTGATGGCCTTCTTTGCAATTAATGATGATCTCGAAAAGGCTTTATTTTACAAAAATCTAATCCCAGATGGATTTACTACAGATTTGAGTAAAATCCTTCATTTGGCTATTAAAATGGTGTCGAGTGGACTTTTAAATGACTCAGTTGATATGATATTGTTAGAGATTTACAAATCAACCAATAAACCGACAAGACCCGACTTTGCGTCTTACACTACAAACTCTTTGGTTCGCGATTATCTAGAGCTGATTGGAGAGGAAACTAAAGATATCAAGTTGGTAAAAGATCTGTGCAACTCTTTCTTGTCAAACCAAAAGATTAAACCAAATAACAAATCACTTCGACCTCGAGTGACCATCCATTTAACCTGCAACGATGTTCAAGGAGCTTTGGATGAGTTTTATCATTGTCTTCATACCTTCCGACTAACTCCAGGCCAAAATATTTTGCTCGATTATTTAATCGACAAAAAAATGTTCAATCAACTCGAGTCATTGCTTGATTCAGTGTGTAAATATTTTGATAAGACTGATATCGTCTTCAACTGTGTTCATCGTCTTGTGGTCAAGGGTTATCCTGAATCGGGCCAAAATTTAATCACCAAAATGAAGTTGTATGAAGACAAACAATCAATCAGGACTCTAATTGTTCATAATATAGCCAAACAAAATATTCAAGAGAGTTTATCGTTGGTACAGTTTTATGGGAGCAAATTTGATTTGGAAGAAAAAGCACATTTTTACAATCGAATTTACAGTTTGTCTTCAGAGAGCAAAGATTTAAACTCTGTAGACAAAATCATAAATTTAATGAAAAGAGAAAAAATTGAGCCATTCATGAATGATAACATTAGTACAAAAGAAAAGGAAAATAATTGATCTATTTTTGGATGATGATGAAGACAATGATACAAATAATGAGTTTAAATACTGGAAAAATGATAATTAGTCTTTCAGTCTTGACCTCAAGTAGTATTAGAATGTATTTATATAATTAATATATTTGAAACATTGGTTTCATCATCACTAACATTAAAATTCAATTAAAATAGTTAATACAATTAAAGTATAATGTTACTTGATCTTGAATTCAGCTAATCACTTACCATTAAAAAAAGGAAATTGTAATAAGTTAATAATGACGAGGATTGGCTTTTCAGCTTATTTTGGCTCATTTCTAGCTTTGTTTTTTTTATCCAAAATATTTGCAAAAATTGTTCCTTGTGAGAAATATTACAAATACGATAAGCAACACAACTTAAAGTGAAAAATTGAACTTGCATGAGAAAAACTTGCAAATATATGTATATGATATTATCAATAATTGTAATTATAAGTACTTATGTATATATAGATGTATCTATCAATATTTATAATATAAATATGTGAACACATTTCAGATTAGTTTTGTTTGGTATTCGTCTATTGATCCATCTGATATTCTTCTTGTTTTAATTAGGCAGTGTTTGGTTTGAACTTGTTTCTTTTCATCAAAAACAAGATTCATTGCAAAAAATCGCATCAATGTATCATCGAGAAAGTATTTTTTTCGATCAATTGAGCAATAAAACAATTATAAATAAATGGCAGTTGCAACAGTTGATTCAAACATTATCACCATTGATATTTGTTTTGCTCGCCATCAAAAATCTAAATTCTGTAGTAATCAATTGTATTTTCTATGACGTTCAAATTTATCAATTTCATCGCTTAATTCCTGGAAAAATAGAAAGAAAAACATGATTAGATTATCAAACCGGGAGTTGAAATCATTGAAGCATACGTTTAGAAATAAATGTACAAATATGAAAATACTAACCATTATTAAAGCTGATCGATTCCAATCATTTCGGCGACGATTAATCACACGGTAAAGACAAGAATATACTTCTTCCAATTGTTCAACTGAACAATTCTTTGTAACATCAACAACTCTGTTGAATATTTTCGATACTTGAACACGATCTATGATCAATTGTTGAGGTGGAGGAGTGTTTGGTGGACTTGGAGGACCAGTTGGTTTATCTAACTCTGGTTGTTGTTGTTGTTGTGGGGGCGGCGGTGGTGGCGGTGGTGGTGTAGGAGGTGATGGTGTTGGTGGACGTTGATGAGGAATAGGAGAAGCTCTGACAATTGGCTGAGGTTTTGGTTTTTTTCGAGAAAATCCGTTTGTCAACATTGTTCGAGGTATAACTTTATCTTCATCCTCTGAGGGTGTATCAAGCTCGGTTTCAGAACGATCGTAACTGTCTCTGGATGTTCGTCTACATTTCCTCCTCGTGGTCATCTTGCTGCTTTCTCGACTATCTGAACTACTCTTTTTGCTTCGGAGTTTTCTGCCATTGATAGCACCATTATTACGCTTATCTTTCACTTTTAAACGTTTCCATCGATGTTGATGAGTTCTTCGACTACGCCTTTTGTTACGATAACCTGTATCTTTAGATATTGACTCTGAAGAACTTTGAACTTTATCTTCATTGTAACCGTCTAGTGACTCAATTTCGGTATCTTCATCTATATTATAATTATTGTCAGCTCCTTGAGAATCAGTTGTTGAACCACCAGGAGCTGGAACAGGTTCAGGTGACTCTACACATCTCCTAATGGCAGCGGATGTGTAAACAGTCCAATAATTCGGAGGAGCAAAAAGATTCGTCGATTCTCCTGAGAGATAAAATAAACGAAATAAAATGAATATAAAAACGAACAAAAGTTTTGTTTGTAACTTACCTCGACGTCTTCTGCTTTCATATACATCTTGACAGACTTGCTCAAAATCAGAGTCCATTTCAGCTTCGATAAAAGCGTTAGCTGCATCTCTTAAAGCACAAGCCCGATGTCGGATCATTCGGTCATTACTATCCTTATCAGGATTGTATTCAAGAGCATTATGGCAAATTAGCTCGATATCATCTAAGAATTGCGAGGCACTTTCATATTTATGAGTGTCTATTTTAGCCATCATTGTTTCCAATGCCATAGGCTTTTTCACTACTTCCAGATAATCAGGAACTTCTTCAAGATCGACAGGTTTTAAAAACATTGAGAATCTCTTATCTCGAACTAATTTTGCCAAACATTCGCGAAGGAATAGACGCAATTCTCTTAAAGTTGCCTCTTCACGTTTCCTTAATTTGCTCAATTCACGACCAGTGATTCGACGAGGTGGAGGAGGTGGTGCTAGAGGTAATGTTTCAGTGGTAACGTTTTCCTCAGCTTTCGGTGGTTCTCGGAAAATAAATTGTTCGAAGAGAGGAGCAAAAAAGGATAGACGTTCTTCACGACTTGGATTAGACATTTCCATTACTTTGGTTGTGTACCGTGTTTTATCAAAAAGAAATTGGAGATCTTCTGGAAGTTCCGAAATCGGTGTAGCACTAGTAGCTAGCAGGAGAACAGGTAAATGTGGTTCTAAATCTTCTATCAAGGAACATAAAAATAGCCTGAGTGTTTCAGGTAAAGATGTCCACCAATGATCAATCCTAGGCATGTAGAGAATACAAGGTAACCTTTTTGTTACCTCTGCGAATATTGCAGACACAGACTCCTCAGGAGTTCTCCCGTGAACCGAGTAAATAGTTGAGTAATCGACTTTACAATGATGAACTTTTTCATAATGATGAAGTATTGCAGGACCCAAATGAGTAGATTGACCTTGATCTTTTTGTCCATGAATTAAAAATCTAGGTCTATAATTACCTCTCCACATAAGAGATCGAAAATTTACGTCCCGTGAACAATTTAGAGTGCCGAGAAGATCATTCTCATCAACATCTTCGTCACTGGGAACATCAGCTGATTCTGCGTCAGCTCCGGCTTCAACACATACTTTTTTGTGTGCAGCAGGGAAAATACTGTTGATTACATCTATGGACCACGTAAGATAAACAGTGAGCAATGGTTTCACTGTGAAGCACAACGGACGAGCGATATTATTGATGGATCGTTGTGAAGCAGGGACAACCTTTCTCATGGCACGATTAAAATCCCTTAATTTAATTTGTACTTCTTCTACATTGAGTAGTAATTTATGACGAGATTGGTAAATTTGCGGATATCTACGTTTTAAAGCTATTAGAGCTGTTTCCGTGCATAAACCTTTAAGGTCAGCTCCACAGTAGCCAGGAGTTCGAGCAGCCAAAATGTCAATAATTTGGGCAGATAAAGGTGGGATCCAATCACGCGTGTGTACTTTGATAATCTCTCTTCTACCTTCTAAAGTAGGCAATGGAAAATAAAATTCTCTATCAAAACGACCTGGACGACGAAGAGCTGGGTCAATAGCGTCAATCCTATTGGTTGCTCCTATGATAATGACTTGACCTCTGTCATCAAGTCCATCCATTAAAGCAAGTAGGGTGGAAACTATTGACGAGTGAATTTGATCTTGATTAGGCGATCGTACCGGTGCGATACCATCAATTTCGTCGAAAAAAATTATGGACGGTCTACTGGCGTAAGCTTCATCAAATAACATCCTTAACTGTCGCTCAGATTCTCCAACCCATTTAGATAGGCAATCAGCCCCTTTTCTCATGAAGAAGGCCACTTTCCGGTCGCTAGTGGAACTACACTCATTGCACAAAGCTCGAGCGACCAGAGTTTTACCCGTACCTGGAGGTCCATGAAACAAAACTCCTCTAGGAGGATGAATTTTGTATTTATCAAATATTTCGGGATAAAGCAGGGGAAAAACAATCATTTCTTTGAGGGCAGCCACATGTTGGTCCAAGCCACCGATATGGTCAAACATAATCGATTCGTCGATACTCATTTTTCACGATTAAAATAATTCTCCCCTCTCTTTTCCCTCGCTCTTTCTTTAGGTATCAAATTGATAAAGATACCCAGAGTCAAGAAGAAGAGGAAAAATAAAATGTAAGAGAAGGGACAGAGAGGGAGAAAAAAGGGAAGAGGCTGAAAAACAATGGAACAGAGGTAATAATAAAGTAATAACAAATCAGGGAAGTTGAAGAAAAGAGAAAGCTAAAAGATAGATGATGAGAGATGATTTGAGGCAATAGACAAAAACACAGAAAAAGACAGGAAAAAATGGAAGAAGAGCAAATCACAAGGAGGGAAAGCAAAATGGGAAAAGAAATATGATGAAAGAAGAGAGAGAGGGAAAGAGGGAAATACAAAGAAAGAAAGATAGATCAATGGTAAATTAAACAAAAAATCATGTTATTAAATGAAAACAAATGTTAATCATTGGAAAATTGTTAGTATCTTCACGCATTTTGACGAGCGATGTTGATATTTGATTTAATGTTGATGTTTTCATCACACTTTTCAAAATGAAGCAAAATTTGAAAGAGTTGGAGTTCAACAAAAAAATAAGATCAAAGATTCATCAACAGATGGAGACAATAATTTTAGTCTCATAAGCTATAAAAAGCTGGTGGTGTTTCTTACTTTTCTTTCACTCTTTTATCTGATCCCTAATCTGCTTTTCTCGTTTTACTTTTATTATCTTTGAACAATTTAAACCCTAATTGTATCACAAAGTGTAAAACCCAGCTTGATTAGTTTATTAGCAAATGTTTTTTCCCTTCTCACACAAACAACGTCCTCCGAACGATTATCCAGCATCGTGTCTTGACCATTTGGGCAGTAGTTTTTACTACTATAACCACTACCACAATCACCACAATAATCAAAATTATCATCACTTTCCTCCTCACTCATTCAACCAACATTACTCGACACAAGATTTTATCAGGAAAGGGATAGGCCTTGAGGTGATGAAGCCATGGCGTGTGTTAATGTCAACCGTAGTCTCTCGGATCAATTCTACCGATACAAAATGCCCAAGCTTTTGGCAAAAGTTGAGGGAAAAGGCAATGGTATTAAGACGGTTATCGTCAACATGGTCGACATTGCCAAGTCTCTCAATCGTCCACCCATGTATCCTACTAAATACTTCGGTTGCGTACTTGGTGCCCAAGTAAATTATGATCCGAAAAATGAGCGATATATTGTGAATGGCTCTCATGAATCAAATAAACTTCAAGATCTCTTGGATGGATTTATTCAAAAGTACGTTTTATGTCCGTCATGCCACAACCCAGAGACCGTGCTTGGTGTACTTACCAAGAAAAACATTATCACTACTTCTTGCAAAGCTTGTGGATATACTGGCCTTCTTAACAATAAAGACAAATTGACGACATACATCCTGAAAAATCCTCCCACGGCTGTATCAGGTAACGGAGCCGGTGGCAAAGAGAGCAAGAAAAATAAAAAGAGTAAAAAAGAAGAAAAGAATGGTAAAAAGCATGCCAATGGTGACTCTAATTCACCTGGGGCTGCCGGTGACTCCGATGAGAGAGACGATCCAATCGATAACCTAGGTAATGGTAATGATGATGATGACGATGAGACATGGGGCGAAAACACTGACCCTGATGCTGTTGCTAAACGAATGAGTGAACTTTCTTTGGGTGCCAAAAATCTAATGATGAATGAAGATCTAGAGAAATCTCCAAAGGAAAGACTAGACATGTTCCTCGATTACGTCAAGGTAAATTGTTATTCATACTCTATAGTCTTTTTACTATCCTTCACTCTCAAATGATGTTAATTATATTTCCTATCTTTAGAATAAAAAAACCGAATGTGGTGATGTATTTGATGCCAATGCCCAAAAGGATATTGTCGCAGAGGCTGAGCGACTCGATATTCGAGACAAGGCTGTTCTTGTTCTGTGTGAATTACTATTTGATGAAGATATTATCCAGCAAATCAAAACTCATCGTGTACTTTTCCTTCGCGTAAGCTGCTTTCTTTTTTTACATCTGTAACTTGCTCATTTTACTTTCTGCTAAAAGTGATTTTTCCCCATTTGTTTTTTCTCTTTTTTTTTCTTTCCACTATTTCTATATTTTGAATGGAAACTGTTTCTGCTTCCCGTTTTTTTCATACCCAACTGACATCTTTCTCCATGTGGCTGTCAACCAATAACTTGTAATACTTGCCTCTCCAACCATCCGTATACGTGTTGGCATCATTATCTACACTTTATATCAAACGATCTGACGCCGAACTCTTTACTTTTCGACGTCATCATTATTTGAATTGATGGTTTATTCAACACATTTCAAAATCTCTCGTCATGATGTCTATATATTCACGCTAATGGTTAACATATTTCGACTATCCTGCATTACAATATGGATTATGATTTATTCCTGTATTGATTAAATCCTGGCTGTTGCTCTATAGTTCACTGCTGAAAATGTCAAAGCTCAGCGATATCTTATGAGAGGATTTGAGCAGGTTGTACAACGTTCCAAAAGTGAATTGCTACCAAAAGTATCGCGCATACTCAAAGCTTTTTATGATTCAGATATTCTTGATGAAAAGGTTATCATTGATTGGGGCTCTAAGGTTTGTTTATCCCTATCAATACATTATTTTTTTCACATTTGTCTCGTCTTTTCCCTACTTGTGATTACTTTTTTCATTTTTCACTTACCAAGTTAGTTTACCTATTTCTTGCCACTTGAAAAAAATGCACAGATTTTTTTCACCAACGGAATGAAAAATGTTAAACGTTATCTGAGTTTCTAATTATCTAATCAAAATGCACATGACAATTCAACATTTCTTTAAGTTAATCTTTTTATAGTTAACTTTGAAAATGAAATGTTCAGCTTACAATTATTTCCATTTCCGATATTTTTTATCCCTAATTCCTTTTCGTTCTTAAACCTGTATTCGGATTTTAAACGTTAATCTTGAATGTCTCTTTCTTTCTTTTTTGATAAATAGGCTTCTAAAAAGATAGTTGGTGAAAAGCTATCCAAAGAAATTCACGAGAAGGCTCAACTATTTTTAACTTGGTTGAAAGAAGCTGAAGAGGAGGAAAGTGAATCTGAAGAGGAAGAAGCCGAAATTGAGGTTGTTTACGACGACCGAGTACGAGATGGTGAAGTTCAAGTTGAGGTGGAGAAAGCTAAGCCGCCACCCGTCTTTACTGCTGTAGCTCCAGCTCTCAAAGAGGAAATTGATATCGATATTGATGCAATCTAATTTACAATCCAAACCAGACCGCTTATCACCAATTTATATTTTCTCTCTTTTATCTATATCTTCTGAAATTCAATTTAGTTTATTCTTTCGCATCTCTTTATACTTTCTCTCTATCCACTCTTTTTTCTTCAACCAACAACATCACGCAATTACCATTATTATTATTGCTATTATTATTATGATTATTCTCGAATAGTAGTTTGAAAGGTACACTTCTCTATCCGTCTCTATCAATCCATTTTCTCGCTCAATTTTCTTTCCAATTTCCGAATCTACTAAAATTGTTATTCATCCATTTTCACCAATTTTTCACTTTCTCCTGCTTCTCCTTTCCACAACATCCAAATTTAAAAGCTTGTACTTCTATTGGCTGATTATCATTACCATAAGAGCAGTAACATTGATGAGCACAAACAAAAGACTACCAAACACACAATAATGATCAACAGGGAAAAAAAGCAACACTGGTATTAATGAAATCCATTGAGAATATGGAGAAAGCCAAACTCGACTCGCTGATAAACGACAACAAAATATGAAAAGAACCTAAACCCTAACAATTCTATTTCATTTATATTAAGGTCTTCAATCACTAATAAACACCAAAAGAAACTCAAGCCATGGTGAAATATGAAATTTGATCAAAAATAAATTGATTAAGCCGCTGGTGAGGTTCGAACTCACGACCCCTGGTTTACGAGACCAGTGCTCTACCACTGAGCTACAACGGCGTTTTTTTATAGAACGTCGAAAAAATACGGTTCATCAAGTCCTAAATGAAACGTAACCTAAATTTTATCATTCAATCTGATCGCTTTTAAAACGCTTTCCCTTGTTTCTTGTTTTTTTGTTTAAAGACGCTTAACTCATACTAAACCACTATTGCCTTTGAATTTGTCTTGTTAGATTGTTAAGGATTCGAAGACAATTAAACTAATTCGTCATTTAATTTTTTTTATCCCCATTTTTCAACAATTTACATTAATTCGATTGGATACTTCTTGAATGTCTTTTTTTTGTTCAACCAAAAAATTCAAGATTATTTTGACTTGTCATTTCATTTAAAATTCAAGGCTATTGATACAATATTGATTAATCCAAGTGATTAAATGTTTGCTGTTGGAAATTTAATCACTCGACCTTAACCTAAAAGGTTACTTTCAGTTGCAGCAATCAACAGTTGCTTATCTTATCAGTAAATAGCTGAGGGTCTAAATAGTTGACTCCAGGTTGAATTAGTTTGAATAATTCAATTTACAAAGGTTGGCTCTATAATCAATTCAATATTGCATATTTGAATCTGTTAGTACAATCAATAGATTAATATTTGTTGCATTAATCCATAATCAATCCCTTTAATCTGTTGATCTTTACTAAAGCCTAATCCTTAATCGTGCACCACGTGCTGTTATCTGAGTTCATAACTCTTTATCATGTGAAATTGAAAGCGGGCAATTTTAAAAGCGTTTTTCAGTCGCCCAAGTCGAGACAATCAAATCAATTTCGAGGTAAGTTACAATTGAAGCCTGAGAAAGGTAAAATAAATTCATAGACATTTCTCATTAGATGGTTACTGAAATTTGATCAAAGTTCAATTTAAGTCGTTAAATCTGATTTAGTTGGGACATCTGTGTTATCAATTATTATGAGGGTAAAATGTGGTGAAAATTGAATGACATGCTCTCTGGAATCTCGGCCTTTTTAAATTGAATCATGAAATGAAAGGAAATCAATGACCTTACTGATGCAACCTCAACAAAGAAACTCAAGATATAGAGCATTGGCATAGAGTATTGCCCCCTATCCAATGCTTACCAACTCACAGACTTATATTTTAGCTTTCCATTTGACTGCTGCCCTTACTCTTTGTCATCATTGGATTAGTTTTTATTATTATCCAACATTTAGCTCTCTTTAATTACTTTAAATGTATTAAATTGTAATTGTCATTCAACAAATTGTGATTGATTTGTACAAATGGAATCTATAGGATCTATGGAATCTGATAACGAACCTGCCAACACAGCTTCAATTGATTTGTCATCTCTGGTAAGTGTAGTTTTCTTGTTTCTCATCTTTTCTTTTTTCAAGGTGTATCTTTTTTATTTAAATGATAAAGCTGATTAGATTGGGAATCCTTTTCACTTTCTTAACTCACAGTCTGGTGATACCATTGAGCCTCCTGAAAAATTTAAACTTATAGCCAAATTTATGAAAGATTTTGGACAAATCATGGCCCAGAATGGATCAAAACAAAATAAATTGTTTAAAAGAAGAAAGACGAAACATAACAGAATCCGTAACATTAAAGCGCATGATGATTACTTTGATGAAAGTATAATGGACGTGATTATCCATAAATTAGCAAATATAACCATGCTTACTGGATTAGATATATCAGGAAATGGCCCTGAAATCGTATTCCATAGTAAAGTATGTTAAAATTGCATTTAAAGTCCATACAAAAAAAATAACTTCTTATGCTGTATCTTTCAATTTTCTCACTAGGTTATTGGAAGATGTCACTCTGAAAATGGTGGCCCAGCAAAATTATTGATTCATTGGGAACCTGAGGGATTTATTCCAGATGAATGGATATTAGAGAAAGATTTTGATGAAATGTCTTCACGTTGTGTGCCACTTCATTCACTTCTTATCGATGAAATTTAATGAGAAAAAAGTGAATGAAAAAAATTGTAGTAACGAGGCCAATATACATGAGAATCAATTTCATTTTATGCAAACATTTCAAACATAAGGTTTTATTCGTCGATTGACATTGACATGAAACCTACACCTGTTCAACTAACCATAGTAATGGCGTTCATCGGAATACCAATTAATAAATTGCACGAATAAACTTGATTTCACTTAAATTTTACTTATTGATTAATTAAGAAAAAGCATCAACATTAACTTAAACTGGGCAAAAAGATTTGCAAACATTGGTAACATACTCCATCTGTTATTTAAAAAATTGACTATTTTTGATACCATTTCTACCATTCTGTCTTTTGTTGTATCTTTTCTCACCGCCATTTTTCGCACACTGCAATTCAAATTGTTATTTGATTGTACATTACTGTTCCTTAATATAAAAGTGATTAAAATTATTTTGTAAGTAATTTTTATTATTCATTACCATTCCATTCTAGTTATCAGATTTTCCCCTTTGAAGTACCTTTAATTTTAGCGCTAAGTCAACTTTTCTTGTCGCCATCTATTTTCAGTTGTTTGGCCAATGATCATCTCTGGAAGATGAACACATTGAAAGGGGTTTTTTCTAACAAAAACATTTTGAACTCGTTATTGAAAGTGTTACCACAATTTTCATCTCTAATTTATTTTGAGTGTAATTTAAATCTTTATAATTATTTAGATTAAATTTCTTTATTGTTAAATTTCTATTCTTTTACTAGTGTTGTATTGAAAGACATTTATTTTGTTTGGTCCGTTAATTTAAACACTTATCGATGGGTCATGAAGAGGAGGTTATGCGTATTGGAAAAAAGTTGGATAAAATGGGAGCCAAAAAGGAAGGTTTTGGTCAAGCATTGGATTTATTAAAAGCGCTAAAGGATATACCGATAACTCTGGAAATTTTACAAAGAACTCGTATTGGTATGGCTGTTAATAATTTAAGGAAAAACTGTTCAAATGAGGAGGTAATCAGTTTGGCCAAATCTCTCATAAGGTCGTGGAAAAAGCTTCTAGAGGTTTCAAAAGAGGGCAAATCAGACGCTAACAATAGCGATAATAGTAATCCAGCGGGATCTTCAGCTGGTAAAACAACTGGCTCAGGAAACGGTGGTAGTGGAGTTAGCAATGCTGGTAACAACAAAAATGGTGCAAATAAGAATACAGCAGCTCGTAATAATGCTCCAGCCGGTGATAATAAACCCAAACAATCTTTTCCATCAAATACCTCCAATGAAATTCGTCTAAAGGGACGACAATTATTGGCTGAAGCTCTTAAACAAGGAATGGAAACCGACACCAATGAGACTTTCTTCGATCCAGAAGATTTAGCTGCCCAAATAGAAGATTGTATTTACAAAGAGTTTAAAGATATTAATATGAAATACAAAAATAGGATAAGATCTAGAGTTTCCAATTTAAAAGATCCGAAAAATCCTGATCTTAAATTTAACGTTCTTCGTGGACACATTTCAGCTGCAAAGATTGCCGTGATGACAGCCGAGGAAATGGCAAGCAATGAAATGAAAGAATTACGACAAAAGCTCACGAAAGAAGCTATTGATGAACATCAGATGGCCGTTACAGGCGGTACAAAAACAGATCTCATCAAGTGTCCTAAGTGTAAAAGATCCAACACTACCTACAATCAAGTTCAAACGAGAAGTGCTGATGAACCTATGACCACATTTTGTTATTGTAATGAATGTGGTCATAGGTGGAAATTCTGTTAGAGAATACCTTTTTCTTCCTATTTTTTCGTCAACTACATCTACCTGCAGAAATACTTTTGTGTTTTCTTACAAAGAACAATTATGACAAAAAATCTCGATAACTTTTTCACCATCATACCAAGATTCAGTAAGACAGACGTTCATCGAAAATGGAGAATAAAACTCAAATTGCAACAAAAAAATTAAAGATCACAGCAAAGCTCAGTAAAATCATTTCTTTCAATACCTAGATGCACTTTTGTAACATTTATCAAGAATATCTTTACATTTCCCACCTCGACATCATCCTTCAATTTTACTTCATCCAAGTATAATGTTCAACACATTAACAAATTATTGGACGCTCCATGTGATCATTTCATACAAATACTTTCGAATGTTTCTCCGAATGTGATTGAAAAGTTTCTCCTATCAATAAGATGCCTGCTAAATAATTACCGCAGATTCAACAACGTCGAAGTTCCAATTTACAATTCCTCTTCAACTCAGTTATTTTTCTCACAAAATTGAGCAGTAAATGATCTCATCTTGTGAAATCCATATTTCCATTGACTTCGAGGCTAAAGAAAGTTTTTCAGTTGCCTTTCTCAAATCTATCTTGGTAAATTGTATCTCGAAATCAATCCAAATTTGTTCAAGCTTATAAAAGCAGACCCATAGATTGTAATAATTAATATCTTAGGATTTCTTGTAATCAAACAATCCTATCGTTAAGCCGAATTTAAAGTGTCATTCGATTTTGGATAAGTCAACATCTCTTCATTTAAAAATAAACATCAATGGTTGTGTTAAACATCTTAAATTGATTTAATCTAAGAAAAACCAAAGTTACAACTATCTGGAGGATGATTCTTCATCTCGAGAAATGTAAGGGGAAAGATCCATGGAGCATCTTATTATCCTAAAAAGATCCAACTCTGTTATTGACATTATTGTACATATCTGGTTGATTACTATGCATTGGTTGTGCTGGCTGCATATTAGATGGACCTGGACTAGAATTATATTGGGCGCGATTCCGCATTCTCAACTCTTCATAGGTTAACCGGGATTTCTCAGGTTTATCGGCTTGATCAACAACTCTTCTAGTCCTAAAGCCAGTATCACCAGCAAGAATATCATCAGGAGAAAATTCGGTGTTCATATTATTTGAGACATCCTTTGGGTCAGCAGTAAATTCAGTTAAATCTTTATCCGCCGAATCAAACTCATCAGAAAATTCATTTGATTTGAACTGTTTCTGTCTATGATAACGGTTGTAAGGTGAATATTGTGGCGTTGTAGAAGCTGAGAAGCTTCCTGTGTTAGTAGCATTAGAACCAGCAAAAGTAGGATCAGAAAATTCACCGAACGAGCCATCTCTTTGTTTATTTACTATAGAAGAAAACGTCGAGAAAAGCAAATAATTAGTCAGAGAAAAATATTTGTACAGTAATCTATGACAAAATTTTGTAAACAAACTGTTTTCATTTTTCTTTTAATCTTCCTTAATTCATTGTAAAATTGAATAATTGAAAAATTTAATTTTCCTTCCATTTGTAAACATTTATTTCCCATTATTTCTACATAAAGCATCCATCATTCATAAATTAATTTTCACTTATTTCTATTTTACGTAACTTGATAGAATGTTTAAGATGCGTAAAACGTTTAACGTAAAATTTACTAATATCAAATATTTAATCAGACGAGTAGATGGTGTGAGAAGTTGATCGACTTACCATAACCAAGTTGCATTCTAACTTGCTGGGCAAATGGTGACTGTGATGAAGATTCAGCAACTCGACGTCGCAACTCATTTCGAGCAGTAAACTGTGTAACATATGATGCTGCACAAAGATATATACCATAAGTCCATGCACTAGGTTTAATGATTTTCTTTTGATGAGCCATGAAAATAGCTCCACAACCAATAACAGCAGCTGGGAAAACTAAAATTTTTGTCGATAAGAGGTGAAATTTAATGAAATGCTCTCAGTGCAAACAATTATCAATGAAATTAATGAGATAATGTGAAGGGGCTTACATTTTTTAAACATGATATCCTTTTGAGTTTGTCTGAATATAGCTACATCTTCTTCAGATAAAGATGGTATGGCAGGTGTTGATTGAGCCGGTGTACCTGGAATTGTCGTAGGTCTATTATAAAAAGATGATTGTTGACCATAATTTGATTGTTCAACACCACGATAACCAGATGTATTCGGTTGACCCATCATACCAGGGTTTTGTTGGTAATTGTCAAAAGAACCAAAACCTTCAGGTTGCCTCGGAGGTTCAGGTAATGAACCATAATCACCACTATTGTAATCCCTATTCATGATAAAGCACTAAAATAAACGACTATTAAATGATTGAGAACAAAAAAATATTGATTTATTCAATTTTGTTATGATTAAATGAAAACACTAACAAATATTACCATGTGATGCAATCTTTTAAGGGATCACTCAATAATTACTCAAAATGATTGTTTAAATTTACAAAACGGCATTTTTGTTCGATTAATGATTTTTATCAACTCCAAGGTCTGCTGGTCAAACCTTATTTTAATTATTTAATAATAATTAACACTCTGTTAAACCTTTCTGGTTATTTTTAACCATAAGAGTAACTAATGTGCGCCTTATGTTTTATAGTTTTCTTCACAAAAATTTGATAATGAAGTTGAAATTGTTTGTTTTAGATTAGTATAAAATTGTCAATAAAGTTCAATATTGACAAAACGTCTCAAAAATTTCATGGAAACTTAATTCATAACTATGGTACAATGTTTATGAAGATATTAAATTTCCATATCACAGTGCGATTCAGTGAATAAATCTTTCGTTCTGGATTGTTTTGTCTCAGACGATTCCCCGATTAACTTTGAGATATCATCGTCAGTTCCATTAATTGGACCATTCCATTAAGGAAACTAAATTGTGGCTTTTTTATGCATATCACACTTTATTTTTAAGAGACCCTCAACTATTTTTAGCCCAATCTCAGAAAACCAAACAATCAGCTGATGTCAGACATTTCTGATTTCGCTGTAAATCCAAAGAAATAGATGAAGCTTTTTGGACATTAACAATGTTATAGCAAATACACAAAGACACTGATTAGTTGCTTGAATATTTTAATAACTCAAAGTTACTATTAGTTGATTAAATGATATATTCGACAATTTAAGCTTAAGATTATAGTGGACAAAAGGTTGATGCAATTCATTAGATTCGTTTTCACATCATAATGAGAAAAGTGATAGGTTACATATTTTATGTCTATTTTGAACGAATAATGGTTATCATCAATATCCAATTCCAACCTTAGAGTTAAGCCATTCGTCTGTCAATAAAACGCTGACTAAAGCTTCACCCAAATCATGTTTGGATATAACTGGTCCAACTCGCTCCTCTTTCTTCAACTTGTATGTATTATCATTTGGGTTGTCTAAAGCAAGAAAACGCAATGTCAATTTAGCAATTAAAAACATACAATCAAAGGTTTATAGTCGTGGTTAACAATTATCACTTACTATCAATATGGGGTGGGCAGAGTACAACCCACTCCAATCCAGAAGCTTTCAAATAATCAAGCATTTTCAAATGGTCTCCATGAACATTTCTCATGTTGGGTGGAATCTTTTCAGGCTCCCAGAAAAGAAAAGCTAAATTAAATGAAAAGAGCAAACGTCAGTCACAACAAATAATGTAATTGGAGATCAGGCATTAAGGAAAAAAAGGTATTAAAATACAACAAAACTCACATGATAAACAAGCTGAAACACGCTTAACACCATGTTTCTGCATAGCCTCGATGATGTTCTTTGTTCCATCAGACATAACAGTTGTGGGTCCTAAGTCATTACGAGTTCCTAGAACAATAACAACTCCATCTTGTCCCTCAACAGCCTTTTCAACATCAGAAGCATTTGTTACATCGCCAGTAACAACTCGGGAAACCTTAAGATAATTAGCAAGCTTGCTTGGATCACGGACAAAAGCAGTCACTTCCAGACCTAAATTACATGATGTGTTTAAAACAAAGAAAGGCATTTGTAAGAAAATTTGAAGATAGAAGTTGAAATCAAAATAACAATACCTTTATCTACAGCTTTAGATACAGTGGCTAGTCCAGTGTTTCCACTTGCACCAAAGATGACAATCTTTTTAATTGCAGACATTTTTTACACAAATTAAAAAAAGTGAATCAATTTTAAACAAATTAACTGAATAGAAAGTGATGAACTTGATATTGAGTAGAGACTGGATATTGAAACAAAACGTCTTCAAATGAAAACTAGAAACTTGTTTTTCAACTAACAAAGAAGTAAACACCCAATAAATGAAAAGTAAATGCAGTTACGTTGTACACATTAATTTAATGCATTTATCCATCACAAAATTGCAAATAAATCGCGCAAACTTCAATTAAAATGAACGCTAAATTGACTTACAATTGTTGCTTCTAATTTGATTCACGTGATCCAAATTGATTGCACATGTGTCGTGATCAACGTCCAAGTTTCTCAAGTTACTCTATCTGTCATTTTTAAACTAACAGGTCTACAACTTGTTAGGCTAATACCACGATACTCTTGATAGCCTTACGATAAGGAATGCTATAAAATACAGAAATGCAAAAATTATTCGCCAATTTCCATGCATAAAATTGTAGAGTTTGAGATAATAATCGATTATTTTATAATCACATTTAATGAGCCAAGAGGTATCAGCAGGGACATCACAATAATTGCTATGATAGTAAAATTTAATGTCTGGCAAAGTGGGAAAATATTGACAGTCAAATTGTGGAAACAATTCAAACTTCTCCGGGAATATCCTAATAAAAACATTGGAATCTGGCCATTCAAAAAATAACCCTTGTATCATTTTTTCAACAGTAATGACCAATCAACTTAACGATCAACAATAATATGGATGGTAATTATTGAAGATGAGCTAATTCCTGAGTAAAAAACCGAAAAATACGATGAAAATCGCAATCTATGATGTTAATGTTTTCTGGAGCCAACACTAAAAAGATTGTAAAATTGCAAAATTTAAAGCATTCCGAAAGAGTTCAACAATTTAGATATCTATTCAGCTCCTTTTCAATTTGTCCAATTTGAATCATTAAGTATCTAAAGCACATAATTTGGATAAACAGCTTCTCGTTCTGTTGAATAACAGTTTTAGGATAATTTCACCTACAAAAGATAAAATACAAAAATAAGTAAAAAAGCCATCATTTGAAATACAAATTAAATGTAATTTAATGTAATTTAAAAGATATGAAATAAAATAGGAAATTCTGCTAACCAACGTTCTTAACCAACCTGCAAAGCGAAGTATAAAGTATAATTCTTATGCTATTTACTCTTGTTTGTAAGTACTTTCATAATTTAGCAAAGGAATATTCATGATATCATCTCAAGAAATCTTCATATAATCTAACGATAAGCTCTTCGCTAGCATCTTTATAGCTTCAACAATTTAATGTTTGAATAATTTTAATCTTTAATGATCACTCGCACTTTTCAGCTTTAGTTAAACGGGATTGAAGTGAACTGAGATGAGTACAACTGAATAAGCTATAAATATAACAAAACATGAAAAATACAATCAGCGAAGATACAAAGATCGTATTACAAACTAGACCTCGATGCTAGCCGATTGAGCCAGTCAGTGAGCCGTTGATTTACTTTCACACCAGCTTAACAATGTTGAGTTAACTTAATGAGTTGACATGTTTAGCTGACTTACTTACTGATCGACTGAGTTACGCAGCTTCAGCTTATCCCAAAATTGAACTCTAATAAAATTAAATTTTTCCCATTAATATGATAAATTAAATTCTGATTTAGCTCTAAATCTTTGTTTTTCTCGATTAAACACTGTCATGCAAATATTTAATTGAAATATAAGCATATTAAACATTCTGTGATTATTTTTTCTTGTAAGAGTTTCAAATGTAGCGCTTTTTTTAACCAATACTTTTTTTCACAAAATTTGAAAATCAAGTTGAGATTTGTTTTAAATAAGTGTACATTTATCAGGTTAAATGGTCATAAAATGTCTCTATAATTTAATAGAAAAGTAAATTAATAATCATGGAATTTATGGCAGGATTTTGGTCAAAACATTGGTTTAATTTATTGGATTCAAGACGATATTGTAGGTTGGTAAAAGTACAATAAAATAGTTTAATGTTAATGAGAAACAGATAGTGATTTGATCAGATTCTGTTTTTCTTATTTCGTTGATCCGCTGATGGATTAATTTATCCCAATGTTGGCAGTTTGAAGTGAATTTATCTTCATTTTCATCTTAGCTTTAATGGAACTCAAGCGTTATCAAACATTTCTTTAAATGAACTTATCGGCAGTGAATTAAGCGCCAGACAACGCGAAGACATCTCATCCAGATCTTTCTCAAATATCCACTCATCTGGTATCAATCCTTCAGGCTCCCAATGAATTAACAATTTAACTGGCCCATCTTTATCTGGTCTAAACCTTCCAATAACCTAAGGACACAACAAAGGTTTACATGTGTACATGTTTACCAACCAGCAAATATAATTTAAAAGGTAATGATGATATGAAACTTACCTTGCTATTGAATACAACGCCATTACCAGAGACATCCAATCCTGTCAACATGGTCATTCTGGCCAGTTTAATGTTAATCATATCCATAATACTTTCATCAAAGTAATCATCATTCGTCTTGACATTGCTAATAGCTTTAACTTTAACCTTTCTTCTTTTAGTTTGTTTGGTTGGTGTGGTTACACTTCGATTATTACAATCAGATTGAGTTGAACTTTTCTTACCAGGCATAATAGTTCAGGGCAAGATGCTAATGAAAAGTTCACTTTCAGGACAATGTGTGTATTTGGATGAAAAACAGTGTTGCTCTGGTGTTTGTTTATATTGGAACAGTTGTCAGTTTGAAGGAACCATTGGCGACACCTCAAACAACCTCAATACTTGCAAGCTACTTCAAAGCAGTCCAAATTTGTTACCTAGATTGGATCCGTTAGGCTCAAGATTACTATCAAACTGTTGATTATCATGTTTATCACGCCAAAGCTGTTGGAAAATGATTAGTTAATCTGTAACAATTTACAAGTCTCCGTCAACAATAACATTACATTGGGATAGCAACATGTACAAGACAACATCAAGCTAATTGAAGCACCAGCTTAGACAAGAACACTTGAATTTAAATTGTGAGCGAAAGGATTGAACTTACAAGAGATTGATAAATTAAAAGGTTCAATTATTATGGAATTATGCCAATAAAATGTTGAATAAATGGCTGACAAGATCACAAAGAAATTCAATGTTTTGGGTTAAGAGTATGATTGATTTTTCTGGTTTACTCACAGATCAAAGTCTAGGATTACATCTAGTGATTCAACCTTAAATTTTCAAAATTTACTCAATTTTGGTTAACTATCAAACCATGTCATCATTGCTAATAGATTAAAGTGTTCTTGGTGTGCACTTGATCGATAAACTCAATAAGATTTTTATTCGAGTATATTATAATCTGCCTTCAATTGTAACTTAAATTGATAACAAGAAATGTGATTATGTTCTGAAAAGCTAAGTAAATGGAGAACCGAGTTTAGTATGTTATTTACTACATAAATGATTGTTACACCGACATTCAACAACATTTGATACAAAATAACAATCACAACAGCCGTAATGATCATGGAAGATTGACTCACTCCATCTCCCATTTATCAATCACCTTCAATCGATTTACATCTTAAAGTTTACAAGGTAGCTGATTAATATTATTGTTGCTGTTCGCTTAAATCATCATCTGCATATGACAATTATTGAAACTACAATCTGACAATCAGACTCTTTCCACTCAACCAACTGACTTGTTTTGCTGCTTCAAAAGGAAGGTAAACTGTCCTAGTATCTAAACCGACTAGACAATTGGCCCAACTGCTGATTCTTAACCCAAACATGAAAGTAATTACCATTTTAATCTCATTGTTGATTGTTTTACCAATCAATTGTAAAACATTTGGAAAGTATTCCTTTCTTCATGGTAAACCCAAAAGTAACCCAATTGTTGAGACAACAAATGATCAGTTGATCAAGGATTTACTTTTATACCACAAAGTGATTCGTGATTTCCATGGATTAGGTCCCCTTGAATATAGCGAGACGGTAATTAGAAGCTTTTAATTGTAATAAAAATGAAAATCACAAGCTAATATTCTGAGTTTCTTCAGCTCAAGGAGTACGCTCGACTGAAAGCAATGTTGGTCGCCTTTCATGATGGATCCTCACACGCCATTGGTGAGAAATTACATCTTGGTGAAAACATTTGGTTTGAACCAACAGAAACCCAAACCAGTGCAAAAACCGTGATCAATGGCTGGTATTACACACAATTAAACAACTGGAATTATAGTGATCCAAAGGTTTTACCAGAGAATCGAAATTTTGCTCAAATTGTTTGGAAGACGACAACCCAATTGGGTTGTGGACAAGCTTACTCTGCTCGGACAAAACCAGGAACCTACACTGTTTGTTATTACTTCCCAGCCGGGTTAACACCATCCCAGGAGTCAATTAATGTTCCCCCTCCAACATCGTTATCACCTTCATCGTCCCTGCTCTCATCGTCAACCTCACCAACAATCAATCCTCAAAATTTGGAAACATTGATTGAAGGAATGGTTAATGATTTGAACCAAAATTAACCAATGATAACTTTTACCCCGTTTGTTTCATTGTTTTCAATTTCAACTGTGAACCTTGATTAAACCACAACCAGATTTGACAGATTGAACAGCAAATCTGGTTGAACTGGTTTTTTAGGTTCACTAATTTTTTCACAATCAAACAAACAGTCAATTTGTTGAATACAAATCACATTGAAAATAAAAGACTAACATTTGAAGATGAGATTCATTTTGTATTATTTTGTCATCCATTTTATAATATTATCAGTAAATAAAAAACTGAGGTTTGTTAAGTGTTAATCAATTGATTTATTAACAGAATTTTTTTACTTCTTTTTTGACCCAATTTAGGTCAAATGAAATACCAATTTGTTTACTTGAAGTGATTGATTAATGAGGCTAGACTCTTGTGTCAATAGTGAAACCTCATCTTGAGAGAGATCACAATTAGTATTGTAAATGAAACTGATACAAGCAATATAACAAGTCTATTTTTTATGTATTATTTAACCTCGCAATTTGAAATGGACTTTGCTTGATTTACAAGGTAAAAGTGATTGGTTGAATACAATTGAAATGCATTTTGAAGTATTGATGATCAATGTTAATATAAATAAATTGACTGTTTATCATTGGAGATTGAATCACATGAAGGAATCATTGATCTTATGACTTAAACTCATCTAATTCATTGAATCTCTAAGAAAAGAAAAAAAATTGTAATCGCAATGAAAAATGATTAAAGTAAATTACCCTTTTTCCCTATTTAAGATTATTAATGATGAGAAAAGCTTGTATTCAAATAGTCAGTTGATGAGTTTGATATATGAAAATCTGATAATCTGATGAGTTGTTCAAGATTTCTCTGTGTAATCTTAATAATAAACAGTTCAACTCAAAGTCAAGTCATTACTTTTAAATTATTACAACATTATTTAATACCTAAATGACTCGTGATTTATGATTATTCAATCAATTTTTCCTTTCCCAATCAATTCATTTTCTTGAACAATTTAGATTTTTACATCAACTCTTTACATAACATTAGATCATCAAAGGAACAAGATTACTTTTTTAATTACTCCTACAATCAAGACCAAGTTGTTCAATAATACAAGTTTACATTGTCTTCATTTCTATTTCATTTAACCAGAAAACATTTGCACTAACAATTCAATTTTAAAGATGATGATCAAAGTCGCTAAGTTGATACTTCAATTTAAGTTGATAAGCTTTCAGGGTAATCCAATGAACTGTAGAGACTTGATGGAGACTTGTTGCTATTAAGATAATTGTTCTGTAACTCTATTAACTGTTGATAGCTTTTAAAATATTTGCTTTAAACAAATCAATTGTGTAAAGAGATTGGATTAATCATGAGAATAGAGATTCTATTCAGGATTGTTTTAGTTCTTGACGATGACCTTAATTGTCCAGCGGCTTCAATCAAAGTTTACTATTTTCTCATCATTAACTTTTGATCTCATTCGGCTCATTATTGGTCAATATTTAGTGTATCCAGACGGTAACGATTAAATGGCTTTGAAGAAAACGCGAAATGATATTTTCAATCTTTTCTGAATAACTAATTGTAGAATTACAGACTATTTTATTAATATACATACATATTAATATATAATTTAAGTTATTCTGCTTGAAGACTTATTTGACACGAAAAAAAAGGTTTTTAAATACAAGTGAGTCAATCACAGGGCAATCATAATGAGAACGATTTGGATTTGAAGAGAATCTTGTCCCATTTCTTTAAATATAACACGATTCTTTGTTGCAATTCAAGAATTATTGGATTTATGATGAGAATGGTTATTATGTCAATTAAAATGCACAAAGATCTTGGTATGGAAAAATTTGGTTGCTTCTTGTATAATTCCGAATAATTCATAATTGATCTGGTAAATTGTCATGAGTTTAGAAAATAGTTTCATTCTCATACAAGTTGAATCTATTGGCAAATAGATAAAACTGTCAGCTTGTTCCATCAGATTGGAGAAAAGGCTTGATTAGATTATGTTTATGCAATATCGATGAAAATAGCGCAATCTTCTGAGAAATTGTTTTATTCTCAGGTTCAAAGATATTTCCTTGTTTGTACACAACACGATTCGTTTTCTCCTTTAAACATCATGCTAAGGAAGAGTAGAAAAATTTCAGTAAATTATATTTTTCTCCTAGAATCAGAATCCTTCTAAATGAGTTGTACAGCTTTGGTTAAACCAAGATAATAAACAAAAAAGTGAAATTTGGATTGATTCAGATAATTTCATTTTGTGAATCCTTTGTGAATGTTCGTTGCTTTTTGTGACTAGATAACACCTTGAATGTAGCTTGTATCCAAATATTGGATCAATGTTCTGATGAAAGTCATCTCTTTCCTTGTATTTTCAAAGATTAAACTTGTATTAGGTGAATTTGATGAGTTTGTATTGCTGTTAGGAGGAGCTCGAAGGATGTTGGGAGCCCAAACCATGGATAAATTATTTTCATCCATTTTTGTATAGTCAACGTTTTGTTTGGCGCTGAAAACTTGTAAGAAACGTATTAAATAGCCAATGACCAGCTTATTGATGGGAGGTAACTTTTTCTCAACCAAGTAAACAGCATTTTGCGGTGATTCACACGTATGCAAGGCTTCTTGGTAAAAGTTGTACGGTATTACTGGTTCCCGAAGCTCTCGAAACCATTGTTTAAGCAAACAGGCAAATACATTTACATCAAGATTAACATCACCTTCATGACCAAGGATTCCTTTCCATTTGTTACAAAGAACGATAAAATCAGTCTCTAACTCTTTGTCAGGCTGAAGGCAATCAATATACAATTTGAGCATGGTTGTCTCTTCAACGTCTCCAGCAATACGGAAAATGCCTTCTTGTTCCGCACCACCCAATCTAATGATAGAAATGAAATACGAAAAGTCAATTAGTAAATTGTAAACCTACACAAAAATTGAGCGTTTCAAAAAGTCCGCTTCAGGTTAAAAAAGGTGCGAAACATAAATATCCCAAATAGCTTACCGTAAAATTGTTTCACTTAAAGTAACTTGAATCCAGGGTAGCTTTCTTTTAGTTAGGTAATTGTTTTGCAGTGTCATCAAATTGTTTAGCGATTCGCCAAACATTCCAAGATAACCTCTCTTAATTGACTGAATTACCATAGATATTTCTTGAATGGAAGCTGGTTTCCTACAATGACCACCAACACTATTGTTTGAACCGCCCAAAGATTCCATTTTGTTGTCTAATTTTTTGAGACAAATTTTACGAGCGTATTCACTTTTATGGCTAGTCAAAAATGATATAAGATAGGGAGCGAATTTCTGGGAAGGACCAAAATAGTAAAGACACAGAGCGATCAATTCCAAGCCCAACTGTAAACTTTCCTCCAAGGGATTGTCCGTTGTTTGTCGACAAAGTTGCACAAAAATTTCATCACGCAGTAAAAGACCTCTTACAACACCTTTAGTGATCAACTCTTTAGCCACTTCCTCGCGTCGAACAAGTGTCCCAATTTTAGCACCTAATTTAGTGTTTCCTTTGCCTCTATCGCCACAATATTGCTGAATAAGTTTGAAACAATTAATTGCTTCTTGTTTAAGATCATTATCATTCATGAGGGTGGCGATCATGGGTTGTTTAATGGAAAATTTGGTCCAGATAAGCATCCCTTTCAATGAATGTCGTCTTTTTAACATCTGATTGAGTCCTCCTTTTTTTAGATGGCGTTTAATATTTTCTCGGGCATACTTTTCTAGTTGTTCATTGGTTTGTTGTTGAATCATTGAAGAATCCAAAGATATTCCTCTTCTTGGTGGAATTGGTTTAACTTCAGAATCGTCATCTTTTTCATTTAGCTTAATCTCTTTGATTTTGTCCTTTTTGCGAACTTTAACCTCCTCTTCTCGATTTTTCATTGCCTCAACATTAATACTATTGTTTCTGACTTCGGATGATTTATCCCTTGACTTTCGTTTCTCAGTTCTGACTTCCAAAGTTCCCGCGTTATCTTCATTGGATTTTATCGGTTTATCACTAGCATCCAGTGAGCCCAAACCACTTGTAAAAGATGCTGACTTTTTATAATAAACAAAAGATGAAGTCTCGTAATAATCACTGGTATCAGTGTCATCTCGTCGATGGTATGGTCTACCATCAATGACATCTTCAGATTCCTCGTCGGTTTCTTCCTCGTACTCATCCTCTTCACCTTCATTATTATCCTCGTCATCTGCATCCCAGTTATCAGTGTAGCTTTCATCTGAAGAACCTAAATTTCGGATAAAAATAAAAACAAATATAAGAAATCAATTTAGATATTAGATTTGATGCAAATATACAACCAGAAAAATTACTGGAATAATTAGCAAAGAATATTTTTACCTTCATAAGCTTCACCATCATATTCATCTTCATCACTTCCTTCATAATAATTATCGTCGATATTATAACAAAGGCCAGCAAAACGAGCCTCATTTAAAAGGTAATGTCGTAAACTTCTTTCTGAAATGGCTGAATGATTATGTGCATGGCCTGATGAACAGTGTCTTGAATGGTGAGAGTGGTGAGGAGCAAGATGATGATGAGATGGTACTGATGTTTGAGTTGCTGCATTAGAACAATATATAAATGAACTATTTGTTTGAGTTGAGTTATCCACTTTACTAGAGTTGCTATTATTTGTAAAATGAGAATTTTGTTTTGATATTTGTAGTTTAGCCAAAGGTATGATGATAACACCTTCTTCCTTAGGTTTTTGCCACTTTGTTTCTGAGGTATTAACATTGTAATAATAAAAACGAGAGCTTTTCACATCAAAAAGTTCCCACCATTGTTGTGCTGAAAACAGAAGATAAGAGAAAAAAAAGATAATCAGTGAATATGAAAATAGTTTAAGAAAAATCAAGTTGACTTGACCCAAAAAGAATATAAAATATTTAGGTCTTCTCTGAGTTTACATTACAACTTAACAAATAGATTACAATAGCATCTTATTTGCTTCCTTGTTTCATTGGACATTTCAAAATATAATGTTGATTTTAACATAAAAGATAAACTATGTCTATCATATTTTCCAACCTAAAAGCATAATTAACCTAAATTAAAAATCCTACATCAAAGTAGTGCAACAAAAAGCATTATTTCCAAAATAACAATCATTTGACGGTACATGAAATGAGGAAAACATGGAAGAAATATCATAGTTGGACAATTGACAGGAAGCAAAGAGATGAGTTGTAATGTCATTTATGAATTTCAACGACAAAAACAGTCAGAGAAAGAAAGCAAGAATAGAATCATACTTTGATCATTGATCCTTCGGATGTTGATACAGTTTTTTGGTTGATCCCAGGAACATTCACCAGTTTTCAGGTTGGCATACATCAATTTGGTTGTCTTTGATGGGATGATTTCAACCCACTCAGCTCTGTGGAAATAAAATAAACCAAGAAGCAGATGTAAGACAATGAATGAGATTCAAGTACGATCCATGAGTTATCCGAGAATCAAAACAGAAATATATATAAACAAACAAATACATTATCCCCATATGATCATTGACAAAACCATCAAAACAAAGATGTGACACTCTAAATGAATCATGCAATGGTGAAGGAATAACTTGAAAAAAATAACAGTTGAATAATGACTTACTTGTCACCCGTTTTAACCATTTTGATTCACAGTGGTAATAGGTTGCTTAGTGAATGTGTTGCTAAATTAAGTCACTGATGCTTAAAAACACACATTAAATAAAATTACTTGTTGTTGGTACTGTTGACAAATGCAAACAGTGTTGAATTGAATAGACAAATGGTCAATACTGTATTAAGAGTAGGTGAAGATGATGATGGTGTATTGATAGATGGTCCTGGTTGGTTTTGTTACATAATCAGAAGCAGGCAGCAAAATATCTCCTATTTTTTATGTTCAGAGAGAGAAAGAGGCAAAAAGATGGGGAAAGGTGAAAGAAAGAGGCAATTCTTAGAGAGAGATAGACAGTAAGAGAAGGGAGAAAGATAAGAGAAAACAAGAAGCAAAGGAAGAAATTTTTGACTTAATTATAATAGCAAGAATAATTATATAAACCAGGAGATGGTAATAAATAATTAGTTACTACATCTTACAGAAAAACAATTAAAAGCTGTAATTGTCACGCTGGTAGAGAAAGTTGAAAACAAATGGGATAAACTGAGAGTCAAAGAAGAGCAGTGATGAGAAGGAGATGGTGAGTGAAAGGAGCTGAATAGGAAACCTTTTTTGAAAACACATAGAATGATGATGATAAAATGGAAGATGAGAAATGAGTGAAAAATAATGGGGGAAAAACAGAGTGAGAAATGTATGGAATGAGAAGGGTGAAAGAAGGAAGAGAAATGAATTAGAAGAAAACAAATGAAGAAGAAAAAAACTCGAAGCTGAAGAAAAGGTAAACACAAGGAATCTTTCAATTTTTAATCTTTTTCTTCTTCTTCTTCTTCTTCGTCTTAAAAGTACCCAAAAACACTAATAATAAATAAAACTGGCATTATCATAAGATGCTTATAAAGATGCTTTAGGGTTCACATTCAACTACTAAACACTTATTTTAAACCGATGATCAAGATCTCAATTTTTACTTGTTTTAGGTTCTTGGCTGGTTGCTATTTGATGTTCGTGTGTTGATTGCTTCTGGTTACTGGTTACTGTTGTTTTTTTGGTATCCACTGTTGATTTCAGTTTACCTTACGGGCATTAGGTCTTGATTTGTGCCTCTAGAAAGAGGATCCACTTTTGACCTGATTTTTTGGTAAAGCTGATTCTGGTCTTGTTATGTTTTTTTTGTTTTCATGCGATTTGTCATTAATAAGTTTATCTATTTATCATAATTATTACAACTGACTGAATTAAAACTGAACTGGTTCAACAGCTTTAACCAACTCAATATACCTTTTTGATTCAATTTTTGACAGCTTTTTGAAGGTTTTAAAGGAGGTTTTCATTGAACATAATCATTCTTAGTCTGTATCATCTTTCACTGTGACGACAACTTTACCTTTTACAGCAGTTTTTTGAAAAAAACAATTGTATTCTCATATTTATCAAGATATAAAAGACTATTTTGATGATTAGTAATGAAAGACGCGTCATCAGCTGTATTCATTGACAGTTACTTGTTGATTTAGATTCTTTAAATTGAAAGATTAATTCTCAGTCAACTAAAGCTATTGATTACCTCAGAGACTGTCGTAATTGTTATCAAACAGACAATTTAATTGTGAGAAACTTGAGATTTACATTGCCAAATGAACTTTCCATTGTTTTTGTTTAAACTCGTTTCACCTTTTTGATTCACATTGTTGCTCCTGTTTACAATCAATTTGATTCATTTAATAATGGCAATCAATTGGATTTTTAATTGATGTTGCCCTGATTGATTTGTTTTTGTACACAATCAAGCTGTAGGTGTCAATTGTTGTCACTACTTTGATGGCTAATTAAACGATAATTAATGATAAACAGCTAAAAACATCAAGATCAAAATAAAAAATTGATTCACTTTTTGTTTGCAACATTTTAACAATCAATCGATGATGATTCTTCCTCTTGCTTCTTTAATCGCAAGGCCACAAGATTTTTTTGTTACATTCAATTCTGATTTGTTTCTACCTGAAGTTGATACTCTATTGAAGAGATAATTTGGTTTATGGCAAAATGGGTGAAACACACACTCATAAAAAATGAGTTGAAGACACAAAAAATGGGTGAGTTGGAGACAGATTAAAAGCCATTAATTAATCCGTGGAAATCTGAGTCACCATTTAACACACTAGGTCAACTCTTTTTTATCCACCATTTTCCTGTAAGATGAGGCGTTCAAATTGAAAGTTTCAACCTGACAATTAAATTCGTTTTATAATCTCGTGGAATATTTGCTGTTTAAAACGATCTCGACTGTTGGTTTAGAGTTTACTCGAGTTCTGTCATTGAAACAATTCATATCAACAAGTTTAAAGAGTTTTATCCAATCGATACAAATAAGTAGCCAAGTGAATTTATCTTAATCAAAGTTAAACTACATTTTGATCAATTATTGTCCTTTACGAGAAAGAAATTTTGTTATAAAATCCAAATAAATCATGCATCCAGTTAATTTGTTAATGCTTATATCAACAGTGCTAATTGCCTCCATTGAGTGTTCACCATTCAAAGTTGAGGATGAATTTGACAGTGATTTTGGAACCAATCGCGATGCCTACGATGATAGTCGATGGGGTCGGTCTTCAATGAGAGGCCGAGGAGGAGGAGGACGCAGATCCGGTGGTAAAGATTTGGAAAAATCTCGTGATAACGATTTCAGGGAAGTTTCCATTGGTGGAGAAGACGAGGCAAGTGAAGAATTGGCTGCCAAAAACAATGATTTTGAAAAGGATGATAATGGACGAATGAAGGGTCGTGGAGATGATGATGATGAAGAGGAAAGGCCATTCATGAAGGAAGACGATGGAGTTCCAGATCGGTATATTAAGATTAAAAAAGCCGCTCAGGATGATGCTATTGCACGATCACCAGGAAGTCAACAAAGACCAAGACAATCCATACAATCAGATAATGAGTCAGCAAGTGTTGAAGGTGAAGCTGGTGAGGATGGTTCAGCAAATGTATCTTCTGATTCACAAAATGATGGTTCAGCTGTAGGTCAACAATCAGAAGATGATAGTAATCCAAAAGAGAGACAAGAAGAGTATGAAGATGACAAAAGAGAGGCCAGGAGTGATGATGCTCAAATAGCTAATGGTGATGTTGAGGGTAGTAATAATTTTGAAGACGATGGATCCAATTCAGCTCCAGTTGAAGAAGGTAGAGAAGAGAAGAGCTATGAAGGTGATTCTCAGCAAGTTGAACAAGATGAACAGCCTGCTGAACCGGAAGAGTAAATAGTAACTTAAAATTTAAGTTAATACAAATGTAAATTACTTATGTCATATAATTTTGTCTATACACTTTAATGTCATCAGTCGTTCACCATTTCTATTTATTTATTTACACATTTTATACTTTGTAATTTTTGTTTTACTTCGTACAAAAAACAAAAAACAAGCAATGAAACAACGAACCTCAAAACTAAAATAATATTATATAAAAACTATTTAACTATAAACTTTTCCCGTTCACCTTTTTTGTTTTCACTGTTGTTAGTAAGTATTGGAATTTGAGAGAAAGATAATATTTACAATTAAGACAGAATTGGGTCTTAACTATAAAATAGTATCACATTACGGAACAGCCTTGTTCAGAAGCTCCACTTCCACCGGCCATTTCAGATAGTTTACTAAAATCAAGGTCTGATCCCATATCGGGAACATCACCGACCAATTCCTTAGGTGGTGAGCCACAATCTTTCATTTCTTGCATTATACTCAGGATCTTTTGGAATCTTGAGTCTTTAACTTCGGAGGAATCGGATTCATTTTCTGCTTCGAATTCAATGCAAACTTGTTTCATTAAGTTAAGTTGCTTGGTGTAACGGTCCAAATCTTTATTGTCCAGTTCAGTCCGATGTTCCTCAATCCAAATTGGATACTGGTCAATAGAAAGAGAAGATAGAGAAAATTAGAAATAAAATAAAATAAAAATATCAATTTGAATCAGCGTAATATAAAGGTGCTTTACAAAAGATGAGTTAGAGATGAGAAAAGATTACATTGAAAAATCTTTTGATCGAGACTCATCCAGGTTAATTGAAATTAATGTTTGTCATACCGAGAAGAAGGTGAATCTTTTTGTGTCTCGATTGATTCAAAAATAAATTGTGAATAATAATAATAATAAAATAATAAATTACCCGTTCACTCAGATCTTTAATTGACGGGTATAAAACTTGCTTGGAAAGCAAATTTTGCATTAAATTGGTAACAAGAGAGAAAACTGCTGGTTCAAAGCCTTCCCCATTTGCATTTCCTTCATTTGAGACACCAAGCTTATTCCATAATCGAGATAATTCTTCTTCCGAAATATCGTTTTCATCATTGATTGATTTTGCTGATTCAGATAGACTTTTCAATGTTTCACTAAGTGTTTCAAAAGCTTCATCAGAATCAGCTGATGAGATATCACAATACAGCAATGACAGAGAAAGGAAACATGGAATAGGGAAATCATTAGTTAAAAATATTTTTACGTTATAAAGAATAAAATTTATGATTGATTAACGATTTATTACCTGATAATTTACATGATTCACTAAGTTTTTGCCATTGTTCTCTTAACTGAGGCTCCTTTTCAATGAAATCGGTCAGTATTCCATCAAGTCTCTGCTTTATTTTCTCGGCATCATTTTCATCCTCATTGTCACTTTGGTTTCTTTCATTGACATCACTATTAATTCCCTCTTTACTAGGTGCACCAAATTTATTTGAATGTTTCTGTGTAAATTGATCAAAGGGTGAGGGTGCAGCACCACTTGGTAGCTGTCCAAATGTTCTTGATGATGATGGTGCCGAGGTTTCCGGTCTAGATGATGAAGGCCTAAAGAAATCATCTAAGGTACCTGAAAGTAGGACAATAGAGGCAATAAGGGTTTAGTGGTTAGTTTATATTAAGAATTAATTAAGAACAGATGATATTTAACTTACTTTCAAGCAAATCACTCAATTCACTGTCATTAGCTTCCTCCCGTTGGTCCATGATTTTTGTGGTATAGAAAAATTAATTGATTCACAATGGTTGACCAATAATTGACTGAACAAAACAAAAAACTAGTTATTGAAGGGTTCAGAGAGAAATGAATGAATCTGAATAAAAACAGGAATGAGAATGAGTTGAATAATTGAATGAGAAGGAAAAATAAAAAAAGAGAAGGAAACCAGCAGTAAGGAGACAACCAAGACTATCAAGTGTGTTGAAGAAGCAGAAAGAAAGATGAAAAGGGAGAGAAGAGAGTGAGGTAAACAGAGTTGATCAACTTGTTCATTAGTACCTAATTTATCGGGTAAAATGACCTGACATCAAGTTCGAGTTGAGCCTAAACATGGATCTGTAATTGGAAATTGATTGAACCTGGTTTGGGTTTTCTGGTTAAGCTGACTAAACAAGCTGGTTTTTGAGTTTCAAGTATAAACAACAACCAAACAGTCAAACCATTAGCAAACATTGCTGATAACATGTAGCGGTTGTAAAAACTTGAGTATTACACGGATAAAATGATATCCATACAAATTATTTTTTTGTCTTAGTTATTTACTTTAAATTGTATCAAATTTTATCTATATTTAGGAGAGTTATTGTTGAACTTTGGCTCTTTCTAACCACAAATGGACATTACTTTGACATAGTTGTGTATCTCCGCTCCTTCAACACTTACAAGACAAGTCTGTCATTTTATCAATTGTTTCTTATCATGATTATTAATGCTGCTGCTGTTGACTTTTCGCAATTATGATGCGAAAAAATTCTGACATCTTATTGAATCCATATCAGTGCTTACCAGTTTTCCGTTGATCTTCAACAGCCTCCATTTGAATTAATTTAACATCTTTCCAATTCATTTCATCATCTTTATTCTTTCCCACTCATCTTATTACAATGTAAGTATTCATTTTGTGATCGTTTTTTTCTCCTAATCAACAACTGAACCATCATTCTCCTCCTTTTCGTCTTCATCTCCACTCTCTCCAGTAGTCTTCATCATCATTACCAGTCAACGTCATATTGTAAACATTCATCTCCGAGAAATTCATCTCTTCTTCAACGAACACCGAGAACTGCTTCTTTTCATTTGTTCATATTTTCTGTGATATACCAAACAACATCAAATGACCATCAAAATGGACTCTCATCAAGCCATATCGATATAAAAATTGTAAGTACCATTTCTTGTCCTGATAGAACTGTAAAATCTGTTATGGAAATAGATTTCGGTTCAATTTATCAGCAAATAACGAGTTACTGAGAACTGAGCTATTTCTTATTTTAGTTTAAATGTGAAAATTTCAAATGAGAGTCAAAGATTTGCTGCTAACCAATTAGCTTAAGTTTAATGATGACAATTTCAATTGATAAATCTATTTCTTCTGTTTAGGAATTTAGAGAGTTCAAGAAATCTAAGACTAAAGACTGGTTATTGAAGACAATTGACGCTGAATCCACTTGAAATAGCTAATAATTTGACAAGAACAAAATTTGGAAAGTTAACGAAATTATCTGTCAATAGGAGGCGAACCTTAATCCAGAGAGTCAAAAAAGAATTTAAGCAAAAATAAGAAACCATGGCAACAACAAAGACAATAGGGAAAAAGCCAAAGCTGCTGTCCTTTGAACCTAGTAGACTCGTAATGTTTAGAAATCTGATAAGCAAAGTAGATCAAGATTCACCGATGGTTAATAATATTATCACAAGTGACACCCAGCCCCGAAATGGCGAGTCGACCTTTAAAATTTCGACATGTGAGTCATCATCCAAACTCGATGCGCGACAAATTTTAACCCAGGAAATTACGTTAACATCGAAAGGTATGTACAGTTAGCTTACATCGATAGTACTGTTAACTATTTTTGCGTCTAATTTATTTTATCTTGTTGCATTGTTTTAATTTTATTTTATTTTTTTGCTTTTATTTTTTATTTACCATGCTTTATTCATCATCAGCTCCTTTAAAGATTCTGGAGATGTTGGAAGTTGCTTCCAATAATGATAGCGTTGATGCTGGCCTTGTTACAGAGGTTTGCAAATATCTCAAGAATAAGGGGAAAGATTTGGACCGAGGGAATTACAAAGAAGCCTTGAACCATTATTTCAACACCATCCGGAATCTCTCTCGTAATACTAATCTTGACCCATCCAGTCGAACTAAACTGTTAGAAGTGGTTGAACTTAGAGCTGGTAATTGGGGCACTACTGATGATCACGCTGCTTTTTATGATAAAAAGAAAATGCCTCTTTCTAATTCTCAACGCGTAAATCAGCCAACTCATGTGAACCTGACCACTTCTACTTCTTCCCCTATAATTCCTTCCAACGGTAGTCAATCTTCGCAAGAGTCTGATGACACTGTTATAGCACCATTATCATCAGAAGATATCATCAAAAATTCAGGGAAATTTCAAAAACCTGTAAAAGTTCCCGGAAAAAACTTTCTGAAAGATGAATTTGTCATTAAAAATAGTGACTCAGGAAAAGGTAAGCAGGTGATAAACATATGTTTATTATCGATAATTACATTGATCTATCTTTTATTTTGAAACAATTCTTTCTGTGTTATTTCGTTGTAACTAGTCATGGGAATCAAAGGAAGGCGAGTTCATCTTATTGAAGAATTAAGTGATACTGTCATATCTTTTCAAAGAGGTTGTCTTTCTCTATCAATTTTTAATAATCAATCAAGATAGCGTTTAACATTTATCATTGCTATCTCAAATATTTTCCTAAAATAATCATTTTTAACAGCCTTGAATCTACAGCCTGTGTCTAACAGCCTGATGTTTACTCAAAAAGTTCTTAAATGCCATTTTAACTGCTTTCTAATGATTTTAAGGTCATTTTATTGAATGTTTAACTTTTCCCATAAATTCATATGACCATTTTTGCACGAAATTACTCATGCTCGAATTAAACTAGCTTACACATTTTTACAAGTATACTAAAAATTTTTTTCATTTTACAGTCAACCCAGGAGCCAAAGACAGGTTGCTTCAGATAACTGGTCCCGATGAATCTTCCATCAATAAAGCAAAGTATTACATCGAAGATACAATTAAACGAAACGCCTCGCCCATACCTTGTGATCAACAAACTCAAACAAATCAACTAAACCAAACTCGGAATATTACATCAGCAAGCTCCCCAGCTGTTAATAAGCTTTTGTCTAATGAAGAGCCTAATACTCCTCATATGCAAACTATTTCCATTGGAAATGATATCGTGATAATTGCTAGCTCAGTACCAAAATTGGCTCTCGAAGCAAGAACCGTTCTTGAAGACCATTTCCTCTTCAAAAAATCGTCTGGTTCATCCAAAAATGAATCTCGTGAGCCAAGCGAAAGCAGTGACTCTGATCTTTCTGTGATCCAGTTAAAACCTCTCAATAGTTCAAATGGAAATTTGACAAAGGTTACCAAAAATGATGAATGGGGTAATTTGGGTACAAGCTCTTTTGTTCAAAAACAAGCCAACAAGGATTCAACAAAAGAGAACATATACCAAAAATCAGCCTCTCATGGATCTCTTGCTACTGGGAATCGAATTCAATCCATACCTATGAATCGAAAAGATGCCTTAAATGGAAAGAAAATTGTTTATGATCGTGATTTTTTGTTAAAGTGTTCAAAATCAAAGATATGCAAAATTCCACCAGATGACGTGAAGATTGCTGCTCAGCAAATTCCGGATATAGCTCGAAAGCCACGACAAACGCGAGCTAATTCAGTTGAATCTGCAGTTGCTTAACTTATAATCAAGAATATCTGACAAGAGAGTCTAAGAAAGGTTCAAATCAATGCAAAATTTATTAAATTCAAATGAAAACGATTACTAGTTAAAGTATAATGTTTACTTTGGTGCCAATCAAGAGATTATCTATAATTGAGTTGACCAATTATTGGTATTTCAATGTGCCTTCTATCTGTTAACTTCTATAAATTCTGTTTATCATTGACCTTCTTTTTGTTGAAACAATTAAAATATGCCAAAAACTAATAAATATTTATGAAAATAAGAAATCACAGAATCAATTTGTTTTATTTCAATAGAAATAATAATTTTTAACATTTATGGCTTTTTTTAACTTGAGACCAGATCAACCATATTTTCAATACGGATTAACGGGCATTTCGCCCAATTCTAAAGGCATAATTGAAGGATCATTTTCCATTCGATGTTCACTATTGCTCAAAAAATCATAGTCAACGCCAAGTTTCTCCCCAATTCCCACCAAAGGACGCTCCATATGTTCGGATAAAATTTGATCTGATCGAGCAAATCCATCAGGCATCATACCATGTCCACCAAACCAACCACTACCACCATGATGAACCGGGACATGAACATATTTAACCTAAAATAAGATAATTATTCAAAATTTAATTAGATGAGATCGAAAATTTGAACCTGAGAAAAATTTGAATAACCAATTTCTCATTAGAATCGATTTTCATGAATAAATTTACGTTTTAAAGTATAAATAAATTGAAATTTTTTCCAATTTGGTCGGTAAAATCAATTGTTTACATTCAATCAGGTTCAGTTAACACCAAAAGTAAACTGGTTAGTGGTTAAAATTGTTATTTGTTTCAGTTTTACGTTTCACTTGACTATAACATTTCATTTACCTAAACGCATTGAGTTCACGGTTACTCGGATAAACAGAGCGGAAGGATGTATCTTCACCATCTTCTGCATGTATTACCTTTTTGTTATTTTTTCTTATATTGATAAATTCACGAACATTTAAAACTAAAACAAATGTACAAAAATCAAAAACAGTAATGATGACAAATAATAGAGAAATTACAATTTAACTAACCTCCTTCTGAGGAATCATGATTGGATATGGCACTGGCACTGTTTTTTTCGGGCATTCGCATCCACTGCTGCTTCCTTTAATCACAATTGTGTTTCCCTTTTTCTTTTTATCATGATCTTTCAATATTAAATTTGATCCATCCATGACAATTGAATGTCCACCTTTATCTTTTTCTCCGGCTGACGCTGGACACAATTTGACAATGGTTATTAAACTAATCACTATTAAAATTGAGCTTAATCCTTTTGTAGGAAACATTTGACTTGATGCTTCCTTTGACAGCAAAAAATGGCCTTGCTGAGAGATTTGTACTGCACGATGAACAACATGAAACTAAATCGAATCAAGAAAATTGTCACCTTATTTATAAGTCGTATATTTGCGCCTTAGATCACTTTTACCGAAATCCGCTAACCAGGATAAAAGCTTATTTGTACTTCACTTTCATTGCACAGTTATTGATATCCTTGATTCACGAGTGTCAAATCTTCGTTTGGTTAATCGCTCAATTGTTATTGCCGACTGAAATAGAATAATGAAGATTTAGTAAACCTTTATACACCCAGAATTTATTATGTGATTCATAATCACAGAGTGTTACAAGAAAAATCAAATAACAATTAAAAGGTGAGGGAAATAAATTTGTAGCCAACAAGAGCCAAAGTCATAGCTTTCACTATCAAGATCATCATCATCATCTAACGGTGAAAAAGTGAAGGAGAGAAATTTTCGCTATATTTAGCCTCACTAAGTATCAAATTAAGTAAATGTTAGTTTTTGTGGGTAAATCACAATTTCAGTTGAAAAAAGAAGATGAAAAAACTAACCGTGAAGATAAATAAATTAGCTGGTAAAAAAGGTTTATATTGATTATCAAGGTACGAATCGATTTGTTGACTGAAGCGTAAGGATATTTGACAGATAACCCAACGTTTTATTGTTTTAACCTTTTTTCCGCAATTTGAAATCATTGATTCCTTCATCCAAAGCATCTCATCTTCTTTTCTGCATATTTGTTTGTGGGTTGAGGTAATTAAAAAGCTGTTAGCCAATTAACCAGTCCTTGAAAATCTGCAATCAACGGAAGACAAATCTGCAAAATAAATAAAAGCATAAAGGTAAGAAAGATTGAACAAAGTGAATAAATGAGATTTTGGGTGAACTTTCTGTTGACGTTACAAACATCTTAATATCCGATTCACCCAGTGATCCTAAATAGATAGAGAGAAGATAAGGATTACCTCATTCGTTAATGTATACAACAATTAACTCACACAAAAATTGGGAATTAGCTTGATGATGTTTGCTCTAATTTGACTGAATAATCATCGATAGAGGGAAAAAATCTGTCAGTCTAAACATTTTTTGTTTACCAGTCAAACCAAACACAAGTTTAGTCTCTTATGTGAACCCATTGTATAGTAAATTAAAGCTCATTAAAAGTGTAATTTAAGTTACTTCAATAGTCCATAGGATCCAAAATGTAATTTCATCAATGAAAGTGAAGCCAAGAGTTAAGCTGATTCCAAAATAATCATCATGAAGCATCGATGGATGAGTTACACTTTACTTGTGCTATATTATGTGCAAGTTACCCAGGAATGGTCTTGGTGGAAAGGCTCAGATGACGATTATTTTGATGGGGGATGCGGTGGATGTAAAAAAGGCTGTGGTCATCACTTTGGTGGTAAGCATAAAACCATGAATCATCATCATCATACAATGGTTATCATCGAAAGAAAGCACAAATCGCTCCTGAAAAAAATCCTTTTCTGGTGGTGGCCATTTGGATGTAAACATTTTAAGCCGGTAGTAGTTAAAACATGTGCTGATAGTTGGTGTGCATCTCATGATGACCACTGGGGAGGAGGTTGCAAGGGTCATAAAAGCCATAAAAGTCACAAGTGGAGCAAAGGACACAAGGGCTGGGATGATGATGACGATGATGATGACCATTGGCACAAAAAGAAGAAAAAGAAATCTGAAGTTCATGTTCATCACTACCATCAACATCATCAGCACCATCAGCATCACCAGCATCACCAACATCATCAGCATCATTTACATCATCAACACGAGTGCGGTTGGTGTTCACGCCATTACCATCGCCATCATCACCACGGTGCCAAAAAGGGTAAAAAGGCTAAAAAGGAGAAACACAAGCCTAAGAAAAAGAAACATAATCATGATATTATTATATTAAATGACGGAGATCATTGGGGTCATCAAGACCATTGGGATCATAACGACCACTGGGATAATAACGATCATTGGGACCATTGGGATCATGGCCATAAAGAGCATGGAGATGTCTGGGCCTGGGTTGATGGTGACCATAAAAAAAGCAAGAAGAAGATGAAAGGGACCATGGAAAAGTTTGATAAAGATGTAGATAACTATATTCACTCAATTCAGGAACACATTGGAGTGGATAGAAAAGATGTAGCTGTTAATGGAGATTCGCTGGAGACTAGGCGGATTAATCAATTAACCAAGATGAAAGATGGGGAAAAGACTAAAACAGTTAAACAAAAGAAGAAAAGGAAATTTCTTGGTTTCATTCCAATGTTCACATAATTGTTGATTAATTTTGTTTTAATCATTTCTTGTTCACTAACTAAAACCATTGCCAAATAATTTAATCTTGATAAAAAGGGCTGAAAATTTTTAGTCTAAACAAGTACCAAAAAGAAGCAAAATGAAAGTTACACCGCTGACTGTTCATTGCTGCTAACAATGGTGACTCAAAAGTTTGCCAAACCTTTCATCAAAACATGGTTAACGCGCCAATATGGCGTAACCATTTTGTTTATTTTATTTTTCATTATCACCATTTTCATCTTTTGTCTCACTAACAATCATTTTTAACAGTGTCATTTTCATTCTCATTAGCTTAATGTTTTGCTTTTGAAGTGTACTAATCAACATTTCTCACCATAGTGTTAAACAATGTTTAAAGGATCAAATAACTTGCCACCAAAAAAAAGCATTGAACTGTTCTGTCTAAATACATCAAGTGGTTTTATTTTGGATACAGTTTCTCTCAACTGTTACTTTCTTGTTATCTACAATTGAATTTGCTAAGCTGACATTTGATGATCTCTTTCAACTCCATGTGCTTTTCCTGTAAATTGGCTTGGCTTCTACTGATAATGCTGCAGTAATTAGCCTCTTGTTTCAACGAAAGACCAAGAAAAGTAAAGCAAATGAAAAGATGGAAAAATAACGCCATTCAAACGGAGACAAAAGATTCTTGGTTTTCTTTAAAAAAGTATGTATTTTTTTTATTATTTATAGCGTATTCAATATTTCAATGTTTAAAACAATGGTTACAATAGTTAATGAAATGATTAAATTAACATGTTTCTCTATCAAATTATTGTTAATATTATAGGGGGACGATGATTTGAGCCCTTCACTTTCTTCCATAAGGATGGAGTTACCCATGTCAGATGCACTTTTACTGAGATCTCCATTGAATGATGACCTTTCTGAAACTTGGATGTACTGTTGTTTCCGGTTTGATGATCCTATACGATGGTCTTTTGGATTATCTAAAACAGCAGAGGGAGAAACAAAAATTCAATTATAAAATCATGAAAAGAGATGAGAAACAAAAGGACAGTTTTATCTATTTAAATCATTGATTGAAATGGTTCTTCAAGATTTCTTAACAATGCCAGTCAAACAATTAATATCAAAACTCTTGTGGTTAACTTTCCCTTCATCTCACGTCCGTGTCACCGTAAAAAAAGTACAAAGACAAAGGTTGAGGAAAATTGAAAACAATCAGAAGAAGGATCTGTCCACAATCAAAGAAGTCTAAGAGAAACATCAAGTTGATGAGTTGAACACTATCATGTTGGCAAATCGTCTTCACCACTCTCACTCATTTCTCTCAAATCTAATTAACTTAACCAACATGGTTTTAAATTGGTAAATAATAACCCTGAACCCTGAATTCAAAATTTCAAGCTGTAACATAACTCTAGAGCGTATGTTTACACTACCAATTAACATCATTGCATCCATCAACATAAACAACTCAATCAAATTTTCAAATGTTTCTTTTTTTCTTCTCTAGCTGCAGTTATTGATTTGGATCTATTAGAAGCAAGTGGATGCAGCAAGTTGTTTGCAGTAAACAAAGGAGAAAGCTTAGTTTATGAGACAAGAGAACTGTGATGAAAACAATTGGAGGAATAACATAAATATTTTCAGATTAAAATGTATTATTTCACAAAGTTGCCATCATTTAAATGGTTGCTGTTAAAGCTGGAAATAGGAACTCAGAAAAGTTCAACACTGGCTGTTAAAGTGGAAGATCAAATGTATAAAAACATTGATTCTCATCTTCATCCCATCTCACGCTATTCATAAATCTTGGTGAAACAGTGATTATGTACCATTTAAAGTGTTTTGCAAGAATCGAGAATAACTTGCAGAGAAATGCGCAAAAATGGTTCCATCAGGTAATCAAACTACAATGGATTGGTACAAGCATTCAAAACTTATGGAAGTGCAAAAGAGGAAAAATAAGAGCTAAAAGTGGAAACAAGAAATCTGAGGAATAACTAGGAAGAAGCATTTGTTTCTTCTTCACAGGAATGACTTTCCATGCCGTTGTACAATATTTTGGAGACAAATTTTATCTCTCCTTTTTTTCATATTATTAACATTATTATTATAATAATAATCTAACAACAATACATTTACATGGTCAATGTATTTAACTATCTCTACATTATTTAACCTGTCAACTCTTTAAATTGCTCTGTGAACCAAAGCTTATTTTTTGGAGGTCATTTTTCATTACCATGGGAACAACTCATAGGAAAGAGATGAAGAATCGAGGATAAAAAGCAGAAGGAAAAAGGAAAGAAAAGATTAAAGTTTATCATTTTTCGATTAAGGTCAAATTCATTCATTGAACCAGAGTAAAATCATCATTTTTGATGTTCCAATGGCAACATGAGGAAGAAGAAAATAAAGGAAACCGAGGAATCAAAGTGAATGGATGCAGTATGCACAAAATTTCATCTTGACAGGTCGTTAAATTAATTTGTTCAAAGGAAAGAGGAGATTGAAGGAAAGAAGAAGGGAAAAAATGTTTGTTCTTTCAAATCTCAAGTTCAGATCATGATCACGATCAGAATGATTAACGTACAAAAAGCTCAAAGATGATACCATCAAGATCCATAAAGGTGATTGCAGTAGATTTATTGCAGTGACACAGTAATAGCTACAATGTGTGAGATATTACCAAATTGTTTTACTTGTTTAATGTTAAACGTTTCCCATACAATCAAAATTAGCCAACACTTTTTTTGGTGAATCGCATTTTTCGGACATTCATTTCAATGCTTATTTCAACCAATTGATTCAACACTTTGAACATTTCAAAGAAACGAAGCTTTATCATATTAATTACTCTGCTGATTTAGATTTATAATGGTTGAAAATAATGGAATGGACCAGAAAAAGAAAGATGAAATAAGCCATGATGAATGGGAAATATATTCATTTGACATGGCAATGAATGGCAAATAATGTTCATAAAGCGTAATTTGTGCTCATTCATTAAAATCGTAATACATTTTTACCAATTGATTTCAATTGTCCAACCGATTATTATCGTCACCATCTAATGATGTTGTCTTGTTAAACCTACTAATATCAATTTTTATCCTCACAAGTATCTCTAAATGTAAAAATCATTTATCATTTAAAACAGAGTTGAATGTGATTGAGACTCACAATTAATCAAATACACCTACTAATTTTTGCTCGCCTTTACAATGAAACAATCAATCAAAACTAATAAACCTCAATCCTAATCAGTTCATCTTATAATTTACTTGATCACCGATTTTCCCATTTCTCATGTTATTTTTCTCACCATTGAGACTTTGCATAGAACCTTTTCTGTTGATTTCAATCAAGTAAAGTGAGACCTTAAAACAAATACTAACATCCTCAAGCAAGATGTAACAATTGATTGTGAATAATTGACTAATAATCAACTCTTTTAGCCCAAGGAGGCAAAAATTGTCAACAAACAGTTAATAAACTAGGAAATTGAAGAGGTGCAAAGAGTTGAACTTCAATCAAATCTAAGTGTTTCATAAAAGTATAACAAAAACAATTGACTTAATTGATTAGTCTAGTCAGCTAGCGAGTAAAATTTACAATTGATTTTCCATAAATTGTCCTTTGATTGCAAAAGAAAATTGATTCACAATTTGAAATGGATGATAACATTTTCAAGTTTCACTTTTTTTCATCGCTTTTTTTGGTGCAAAATTTTCTCCAAAGAAATATTTTGCTGTTGATCGTCAATAGGTTTTACATCAACAAACTAAACCTACTGAACTTGGGTGATTGATTGAACATCAACATTGAATGTGAAACAGTTTGAAGCAACCTAAAAAGAATGGTTTAATGATGATTTGAAAATCTGGCTGAACCAGTAACCAAAGAAATTGAAAGTTTAAAAAAACCCAAAATAGTTATCATCATAATCATCGTCCTCATCGTATTTGAATCTTTTCCTAAATGATACTCGTCTTGACTATGGAAGAGTAAAAAATTTGAATTTCAAGAAAAACATTGCGTGACTATGAAACGTTGTAACCTTTAAATCAATTGTTGATCTAAACGTTGATTAATTCAGATTAGCATAGCTGAGTATACAGAAAATATTTCAATAATCAATTGGGTAAATTTTAAATGGGTTAACTTGCTACATTTGCTCCATTAGACCAAGTTTAGTCTAAATTATCGCTAACTGATTTCACCAATTTTCTCATTGATATTTGAATTGATGAATCGAGATGATTAAAACTAATAATATCGATCCTCAATAGAAACATTGAACAACTTATTTGTAGCTTCTCCAGCAACTGTTACATGAACATAAAATGCCCTCAAAATGTCTTTATTTACACTTCACTTTTAACTTTTCAAATAATTTGTATTTCTCTTCTGAAATTTTCACGAATTTTGAACAAACTGTTCAACTCTTTCTGACAAAAATTACTTTAGAAGCATTTGTCTTGGCGAAAGTACGAATTTACTTTTGAAATTGAATTTTTGAAGCTAATAAAAGTCTATTGATCTTTACATGTAGAGAGGTCTTTGGTAAAGCTTTATAATCATAGTCAAGCTTGCTTAATGAATGCCTTGACATTGATATCAAAATTTTTAAGCTTTAATAAGCAACAAAAGAATGGCCTGAAAGTGTTAAATTTTTAAAATGAAATCAGCTTTCGCCATTAAAGCTTTGAGAGGCACATTTTTAAAGCAATTTCACCATTTTTTAATCAGCTTATCGTAGCAACAATAATTGAAAATAACCTGGTAAAATGGATTTACATTTATTCATTTGGATACTTGAATGGTAATGAAACTGTTTAACAATTGTAGTTGAGTCTTGTCCAATCATTAGATTGAGCTTTCAATTTTTAGTGTACATTGAGTGTGATTTGGTTGATGATCAAATCAAGGTTGCTTTAACTCAAACACTTGGTAATGCAAAATGAAGTTTGGCTAGACTTGTAATGGTAACTTGAATGGGTTTGATGATTGAAAATGAAATGATCAAGGCAAAGTGGAGGAGGACAAATGGTTTGACAAATTGAAGGCACAAAAAGGCAAGTGAAATGGTAAATGATAAAGACAATTTGTAAATGACAATTGTCACTGTTAACCTATTGAAAATTGTGGAGTAAAAAATATTGATAAGAAAATTTAAAACGAAAAAGGAAAACTGCAAAAGCGGATTTCAATTGCTTTTTTCACTCTATTCCAGCTCATCTTTTTCATCAGGCTGATCATCATCATCATCCTCTTCTGTCTTGAAAAATGCCAATAGATAATGTGAAAAAGAGGAAAATTGAAAGAAGATAAAAAAGACTGGAAAAGTGTAATTTCTTATTCAATGTGGATTCCATTTCTTTTGTCCTCGCATTTTCCATCTTCATCCTCATCTCTGTCCTCTTCCTCTTCAACTACACTTCATCTTCCATCATCAATCACACATGAAAACAGTAAAATAAAAGTGATACTAAAAGATATCAAGAGAAGAAGAGGAAGAGCAAATCTAATGCTCAAGATGAATATGAAAGTATTTGATTTTGATGATCAATTGAATTCAATTTTTGCTTCAAAATGACAATAAACTTTCCTTTCAGATCAACAATAAGTTTACTGTCACACGGCTTATAAAGTTTACAATTGAACATTTATATTTAATTTATGGGCTTCTTTAAATTTTCTCATCCTTCTCATCATCTACCTTCAGTTTTTCATGAAACATTTTCCCCTTTGGAACGGCAAAGAAGAGAAATACATTTTTTCCAATCAAATATTTCAATTGATTTGTCCCATTTTGTCAATTTAAACTGTCACAGGTTTTGTCTGTTTAGCCAAACTTCAATTTAGATTGAACCCAAAAGGTTGATCAAGGTGGTAAAGTCGGTGGATCAAGAGGTTGGAGTGTCAACAGTTGAGGAAAAAAAACGATCAAAATATGAATGGTACTTATAATGCTGTCAACAGACAAGGAAAAAGCAATTGTCTCAATTGTCAGAAGCAACAAGAAATGGTAAAAAAAGATGATTGAGAATACCTTTTTTCCCTTTTCATCTTTTCTCCATTTTTTGTCATCATTTCAATGATTAGTGATCATTTCTTGCACCTCATGTAAATTGATACAAGAATAAAATTCATTGATATTGCATTGACAAAAATCATTCAGTTTTTTCCTTTTTTCCTCACAATACTTTAGCCAATGATGAACAACTTGAACCTCATTCATTCCTGTTTTTTATTTCAATTTCATCATAAATTCTCATTACATTTAATCTTTTCTGAATCATCTTTCAGCTGAAATCAGGCAAAGTTGAAACATGCTAATCCATTAACATTAATGAACATTTTTGTCCAATTTTCAATTCCAAGTCAAACTGAATAAAAAGTTGATCAATTTTTCATATAAACTACTAAATAAAACATTCAAATTTTGAGCTTCATTTTAATTACTTCAAGTATTAAAATTTAGTGAATTTTTGGTCCAAAAATAGATTAAGTTGTAAACCAATTTTGGACTTCACTTTTGCAAGTTGCTTTACCATCCTTTACATTTGCCCTTTACTGACAGTTTGTGTCAATTCAAAGGTCACTTCAGTCGAGACTAGAATGCATTGAAGATAACCTTTCAGAACAAAATGTAACTATGAAATTATGAAATGAAAATCAATGATCGATTGATCGAAGAATTGAGGAAATCTTCGAAAGTTACTTACCAATTAATGTTACAATTGCTTCCTTTGAACCAAGCTGATTCTTGGCCGAACAGGTATAAAGGCCGAGATCACTTTTTTGAACATTGCGTATAACCAAAGTTAAATGAGTCTTGTACTCTTTGTCTTCATGATAAATTGAATATTTTCCCGATGAACCAATTCGTTCACCATTCTCCTTGATCCAATAATTAACTGAAGGTGGAAATGAGTCAATGTGACAGTTTAAGGTAACATCTTGACCTAAATTGGACCCAACCAATTGCTTTGGAATCCAGACAACAGGTGAAACTAAAAAGACGAAAAGCGAAAGCAAAACATTAATAATTTACTAAACTTGTCTCATTGCATCTTGAAACCTTTTCCCTTAAATCGACCCTTTACTAACCAGTTTTCATGACAATTAGTCAATTATATAATCAAAGCCCAAAGAGCATTAGATTTGTAAAAAGAAGCTTTTCTTGAGCTTTTTTTCCATGAAAATTCATGTCTTTTGCTCTTCTCACTTTTTCTCAGCATTCACCTCTTTTCAGGTTAACATCATCAGATTATTATATCACTTCGATATTTAATAATTATCACGCAATGACAATTTACAAATATCATTTATTTGTATTCGCATTTTGAGCCATTTTATTGATGGTTTGGTTACAGTATTTGTTACAGTTCAAGCTTCTCAATAGCATATGATAATTTCATCATTATGCCATTGAGCCTTGCAAGTGGTTTAAAATACGTGAAAATCATTACATCTTGTATGTTAATTTTGAGGATGAATTTGAGAAGAATAACAATTTAGCAGCTTCTTTGTCACATGTCAATTTAATATTGATCAGTGTCAGGGAGTTTGTTTCAACATCTTGTTCAGGTTGGCGAAAAGGTTTCCAGCAATTTTGGTTCCAAAATAAAATAAGCATTTGTTTATTGTATTTAACAAGTTAAGTTGACACTTGGAGAGAAAATTGATTTTTATGATTCACTTTAATCATTTCTTGAAATACATGAATATTTCAAGGGAAGCTGTTGAATAGTATTATGTAATATTATGTAATGTTAACACTGTACACATGGTCATGAGTTGAAAGGAACGATGAAAATGAATTGGACTGGAAGATGTTGAACGAATTTAATGAACAGAGAAAAAATTGATTAATAATTGAATTGACTTATTCACATCAGGCAGATGCCACATTAAACAATCTTTCAACATTTTAATTGAAGAGCTAGATATTTGTTGCACACAACAATAAAGATGTAAGGTGTGACCCATGATCAAGGGTTAAAGACTGATGCAACAAGCAAGGGTTGTGTTTCAAGTGTTAGTCTGGGTGAAGCTAGTTTTTTGTTTGACCGATAGGGAGTTGAACTTTGACCATGGGAAGAAACATAAGCAAAATAAGCAAACTCTTATCTTATCTCCGTCGTGGCCGAGTTGGTAAACCCCTCGTTTCTTACCGAGACATTCCGTGTTCAAACCTCGAGCGTAACCTACTTAAAACTCCAACCCCTTTACCTTTCCCCTACACTTGGAACCTTTTCGTACAAAAATGACTGGGAAAAAATATCAGCTGACTAATACTGCTATTGTTTCGTTTGAAAATATAGATACTGAGCCCGGTGAAACTTGTCAATGTCAGTGGCGATGTCGCTCTCCGAAAGATGACAAGTGCAAAATAAACATTCCTGAATTATTCAAAAAATCGCGGGCCAAGAAAATAATGCAATCATTAGAAGCCGGAGGTGACTTGATTGAAATCATGGCTGACTCCTTTGATTCAGCTGAAATCATTGAAAAGGCTGTCAAAAAGTGGAAGAAGTGGCGACGCAATGGAAAGAAATTGGTCAAGCTGTTTAAAATAATCAAAAATTGTATAGATCTGGCTAAATGAAATAAACAGCTTCTCAATCAAAATGGGTTAACATTGATTTGCACAGAATATCGAAAATCGCGCTTCTATCAGAGTAAACAGTTTCTTAACTTTACCTAACCCAAACCCAGTATAACCAGACTAAACTACACTTAACCAGACTTAACCTGACTTGACAGTGACTAACTTTACTACCTAACTTAACATAACATGACTTAACTAATACTAACAGGGCTTAACAGCTGCACAAAATATCCCAAATGTACCCGCGGCGGTCTTGGGATATATTTTACTCAATCGATATTTAATCGCGAAATCAGACCAATCTCATTGATTAACTACATAGATTATGAAACCTGGCCATAAGGGAAGTATGGTTAACACTAAGGTAAGGTAAGACTGCTGGTTAGGACTAGTTAACTCAAGTTAACCCAAGTCGACCCAAGTTATGTTGGGTTAAGTTCGGTTAGGTTGAGTTGGTGAAATAGGTGAAACTAGTTACTGAGTGCAATCATACAACTCATTAATTCACAAGTCGATTACTCAATCTAGATGAACCTTATCCACCCAACTGGCTCAACCTAACTAATCACATACTTATAAGGCATGACATAACATGACAATCGATGATTGACAGTATGAATGATATACAAAGGCAGAGTACCTGCAAGATCAAAGGTCTTCCTTGGTACGATTGACAATACCTATGAGATTTGATGCTATTAGACATCATAATCTTGCATATAAGTTCAAAATAGTCATAATGAGCAGTATTAGTATTGAGCCCTGCTTGTGCAGAGCAGATCGCAAATCGATCCGAGAAACTGGTATCAAACGGTTATAATACTGCGCTGTTTCGTTGACTCGCAAACGTACCAAGTAATGGTTACTCCTGCTAGATGTGCTTGCATATTCTAGTGGAAGAAGATGGATTCTACAGAGTTTTCCTTAGAGAATCTCAATGCACATGAATCTCAATTCATCCCTGAATCGATACTCATGTAAACGCTTTTGTGTTTTATTGCGTTAAGATTGGATAGGAAATCGAAAGTTGAAATCGAGTAGACATAATGAGCAGAGCAACAACTTAAGATTATGTAAAACTGCAACATTGTGACGATTCTTAAGACTAATGCCATTAGTTGAAGGAAAGGTAAGAAAAGTAAATATTAAAGTGCAATATTTTCTCACAAAGCAATTTATTTTATTCATGTTTAATCAATAAAAACATCATGAAAGTAATTTAGACACAATTATTAATCTGAATGAGAAGCATTTGAGAAGCTAATGACATTATTTTTCTGTCAATATAATTATAACTTTGAAACATTGTTATTAACCATTAAGATAAAGCTCTCTGAACAGCATAATAAACAAGAAATGATAATATAATTACCATAGAAGAATAAAGTTGAAATATTTCAGTCACCAATAATGATAAAAATAATTTTCTAATAACAACGTTATGTCAATCAAAAGGTTAAAGATAATGACCTCAACTTGTCCTCCATTGTTTCATCATTTCCTCATTTCCAATCTCATCTCATGATAAAAATCAGTATATTAAATGTCAAATGAAAATATCGCAAGGTTGAACCTGCAAATTGAAAATCCAATGCAACCGAGTAAAGGATAAATTTGACTCGATTTTACACAAGATTTTGTTGACTCTTTCAGCAAATGAAATTGAATGAATTGTTACTTTCGATCAGCATTTAGTATCGTTGGCAAGTTGTTTTAGTTTGCAATTGAACATAATGTTGTCATGTTTTGTGCAAAAGTAACAATAACTTTCTGTTAATATTTTTATTGCAATCCAGACGTAATCTTTACTTGCCTCAAGCTATAGATGTAAAGTTCTGATATGCATTCTGATGTTTGATTCAATATTATTGTCACATAGATACATATTTTGTTGGACACAAAAAGCGCATCCTGACAGTTATCAATTTTCTGGGCCATTTTTGTTCAACATTATTTTCATCACTACAATCATCCAGAAGGTAAAACTAATAAAGTGTAACTTTATATTTACTGAAAATCAAATGTTTAACAGAAACAATATTGACCATATTAAAGTCCAGTAAACTGAAAATGTTTATTCAACTTTTCAACTTAACCATTTTAAATTTACTTCATGATTCACATTATTGTAGAGATGATATTCAACTGGAAACATTTCATTAAGTTATTCAATTTTAATCTTTTATTTACATTATTCAAAATGAAGGTAATAACTGAACAACACTAAAAAAGGCTCATTTAAGGTTCATTTATAAAGCTTGAGCTTACAGATAATTTTCAATGTTCATGTTTATTGCAATTTCAGTTTCAAATATTGTCTTCATATTCTCATTATTTAGCTATCGATTAATTATTAGGTTTATTTCATTTCAGGAGTAACAAAGACTTTGTGTTCAATCGGAATTGTTGGTAATTTTATTGATCATGAATTATTGTTTCAGGAAAATTGAATTACAATTCAACAATCGTCGGACAATTTTGCCATTGTAAACAGTCTTTTACAAGACAATCAATCTGTGTAAAGTAAAAGACTTGAAATTTAATTGTTAGTCTCAAGAGTTCAATCAACTTTAAACTGTATCGTTGAGTATAAGCTCATCCTCGGCTGATACAAAGTTCTGGTTCTCAGTTTCTTTTTTCTTAAATGCTTAAAATGCATCGATAGTTGCTTTGAGTGAAACAGTCCTGAAAGTGTGCATAATCAGTCTGAAATACATGAGTTTCCATATTCTTAGTACACAGAGTTTCTCAATACTAATTGGACCCAAAAATGCCTAAATCAACTTGGAAGGACCCAAAGGACCTTGGGAGAAGAAGAGTTCTGATAGATTCATTTCACCTAAAAGTCATCAATCTAGCGTTAAGAAACCAGGTAACTTCATTTTTTGTGAAATAATCAATTAAAAGATGTTGAACGAAACTGGGACAATAACGTTTTCAGAGACAATGTTATTGCCTGGGAATAACATGAAAAGACTTAAGTGATTCGTTCAGGTGATTGACTGAGCATTTTCAACTTGATGTCACCTTAACAAGCCAACAATAAACAATTTAAAGCCAAATAAGATGATGCTTAGGCTGATGCTATTGGAACGCCACTTTGATGATACACCCATAGTTCAGCCTAATAAACATTTAATACAGTCCAAAGTCTTGGGATTGCGATCTCAGGACTGAATATATTTTTTCAATAAACCTTTTTGTTTTTATGCATAACTTGATCAAAGCTGAATAAAACTAAGCAAAACCCTTCCCTGTTCAAACAAGACCCGGTGAGTAACTCAAGAGTGCCTTTATCCGAGTAGTTATTAAAAGTCCGGGTCTGGGACAAGCTTTTTTTACTGGGACAGTGAAAAGTTGTCCGCTCTAGGACAACACCATCAGACGGTGTGCTTAATT